AATAGATATTTATGCGCCAAGGGTATTTTAAGGGTTCTAATGATCGAGCGGCGACAAAACGCCCGAGGCCCTTTGGCCCTTCGTTAGAAGCAGTAAACGCCCGTGGTACATAGCTAATTTTATTTTTTACTTCATTTTATTGATTCATATTGATTTATTTAATAATTAACACGATGTTAATTTGATTCGCTGTTAACCAGACAACGCACAATGCGACTGGGTACAACAGACATTTCGTATTCCCATAATTAAAAAACGAAAAAAAAATGCGGTGGCGATTTACATTTCACCCGATAAGTTAAGGACACACATGTCCCTACTTCACACCATGGCTTACTTAATTTCCCTAGTGCTGATGTTTTACTTCTCGGGATTGGTCGACTCTCATTCCGGCTATTCCCTCTCCTCTCCGAAGGCGCCCTTCGTCATTCCTAACTCTCATTGCAGATACCTCTCGCTATCTGCGCCCTACCATACTTAACCTGCCAAGATGAAAATCCTTCCCTACGTCGGTTACCTAAAGGTAACCCTTCAATCCATCTCGGCCAGTTTTCAGTTTATTTTGCCGTGAACCAATTGCCGCGGTACCCCGCAGTCCCTTTTCAGCTAGACATAGCCGACTCAGGGGAAGAGTACATGTACAGGGATGTGGCTAGGGTGAGTCTCATCATGCCACGACACGCAACGCAACATCCATACCCGAGGCAGAATTCGCACTGGGGCCCTTGAAGCCAAAAAGTAACAACCACACCGCCTTAAAAAATTCAGCTACACAGGTCGAATTCTGCTGGTGTAATTGCCGTAATACGTCTACAACACCAATGAGAATTTCTCAGCAGTTTTCCAGAGATGAGTAAGTTGGTCCTACAAAAAAAAATCACCATGGATTCCAAAACTAAAAAATGCAAACCCCTTCTGAAAGAGATTGAAAAATCGCACATCGTCACAACCGATTGTTGATGGTTAAGTTCTAAGCGAGTCATGAAGGGTTTACACTTAACGACCTTATAGAAGACTTCAACTATTACGTCAAATTGAATTGTGAAATTAGGTATACACTAGGGTTATTAGAGAAATATACCACACAATGAATCTTTCTAGCTATCTATATCCCGTCCATACGATATTTCGTTCAGATCACTACAAAAATAACTGAACTGCAAATTGTAAAAACTGTGAAAATTAAAATCAAGAGGCAAGATTGTATTTTTCAACAAACACTTTTATCGATAACTACTGTTCATCCCTGTAAAACAATAAACAGCATCGGGAAATGAAGTATTTCTTCTAATAATTCAAGTTGATTTGCAACATTTTTTTTTTTTTTTGCAAAACCGCAGTTCTTCGTAATGAATCTGATATTTGAAATAATCTACAGCATGTAAGTGATGAAAATGTCGAATATTTTGAACTCAAGTCGTCTAGCTCATCTCGCGTAAATTTATTGAATTTATGTCATTTTGCAAAGTGGCTAACTTCCAAATCTCGCATCTAACCAACGGTGAACTCCCATCTTCTCCTGGCCTTCAATCATTAATCACTCTTCCTTCTGACAGGCTCTGACCAGTACACGAACATAAAACTTGGCATCAATTTTGTTCCTTCGGTTGGAGTCAAAAGCAGTAAAAACGTCAGGCGTCGTCACGGGTAGTGAGCTATATTTTCTGTCGAGAGGTTCGTATGAAACCATTACGATGGATATTTGACAAATATCGAAGACGCCATTACGATAAAAAAGCATATTTTACTACAATTATATGTTCGTACTTTCTAGCCTTTCAATTGCATTTGTCTCTTGAAACAAGATAAGTGGATTATAAAAAAAAATCCCGCAGAGTTATAACAGATTTGTTTCCTTATTTTTGGATGAAACAAAATACGGCACATACATTTTAACCTTCAAATTACACCTGGGCAAATAATATTTGTAAAATGTCCATTTTTGGAGACGTAGGCCGGCACTCTCTCGTGGAAATGCATTTCCACTGCGTTTTAAAACGCAACGGATAAAAAAGGTGTGTTTTTGTTTTTGTTTTTTTTTTAATTCCCAGACGCGAACGTTTTCTTAGCGAAAATCCAATGGTCTATCCATCGTAGATAACCAGGAAAGCAGTTAATGACAGTGAATTTTGAGGCAACTCGACACCACCAACCTGGGAAATTAAACACCCCGCAGCTTTAATGAAATGTACACGGTCCTGCAATATAAAGACCCTTTGACTTCAAATCACACTTTACAGGTACAGTTGAATCATTTGAAGAATCAAAAGTTATCCAGAACTGTTGTTTCCTTGAACTTGTAGCGATTCGCAATGTTGAAAAAATGTATGAATCATCTTCAAGACGAAAGTCCAACATCTATCTCTACATCTGACACCTCACCAACCTCGAGGGGGAATGTAAACGATTATTACCTCGCTTTGCTAATTAAGAAGCCCAAATAACAAAAACACCACTGTTCATAAGATATTCACGAAAATCATAATATTGAAAACTATGTTTCAAAAAATTACATGCCATTGTTCACATTCTGGTATTTTTTAAAATTTGAATCTTACTCTACGATCACAACACGTAGGTCAAAGTCAAATATTGTATTTTAAAGGCATGTTTACTTTAAATTATGATCTTCAATTCCTACATCATGAGTTTACAAAAATCTCTTTATAAAAGGGCATATCTTTATACTATAGAATTATAACACATAAGGAATATATTTCATAATGTTATATTAATATTAAACCCTTGCTTCGAATCCCATATGGTAGTATGCCAACAACATTGCCAACATGAAAACTGTAATGATATTAAATAGTATTACAAACTATTACATCACAGCAAGATGTAAACAAGGAGTACCTACAAAAAGAATTTGAAAGCACGTGAATTCAAAATACAGGATGGCTTTTAGAAAATGCTTAATTGAAAGTATTTTTATTTTCATTTTCCCAGATTGTTTAAGCCCAATGGTTTCGGAGCATATGCTTACAAGTCAAAAGAATTAATAATAGACGGGTTAATAATACAGGAATTCGCGAAAGAAATCGATTCCCTGATACCTCGAGAGGAAAGTTCTTGCGGGTACGAGAAATTTTATACACAAATGGACAACAGAAAAAAAAATCGACTATTCAGGCTCTCAATATCCACAGATTTTCTCTCCAGAAGATTAACAATTTCCCCTCACTGCCCTCCTCGCCAAACAATGAAATCAGATTAACATAAAGGTTAAAATAATAGCATATCAAAAAGAATCTGTAAGTAAAGCTCAAGGATATATTGTCCCAAATTTAGTAAAACCGTTACAAAGCAACCCAATTATTATAACTGTTCATATTGCTGAAAAATATGATTTTGTTCACCTTTTATCTCGAGAAACACGACTTTCAAGCAACTGCTAACCAGACGGTTCGATTCCTTCCCCCTCTCCACGCTGACTGGGCTTTAAGATCCCACTATCAGAAACCGCCTTGCAGATAAGACTGCTCTTTGCAGAATGCGTGGCCGATGACGCGTTTGTTTACATATAGCTTACACGCTCAAAAAAAGAACCTCGGAGAAGACGGCACGAGGGTCCCTGCACATGCAGGAGAGGGCACGTCGTCCTCAATCAAGGGACGCGCATCGCGTCACCTCGCACGTGTCCGTTGACCCGGCCAAGTCCGCCCCCGCCTCTCCGCTAAGGGGCGCGCGAGTTGCGCCAGCACGCCGTTATTTTCACGGATGCCGTGTAACGGAGCCGCGCCGCGCTCCCGTTCGCAGGCAGCGGCGGTGCCACGCGGCGGTCGCGGTAGTGCGCGCAGCGGCGTTTCCCGCGCCGCAGGCAATCACCCCCGCCTGGAAGCGCCGCGAGGTTATTTCTGGCAACGCGTTTCGCCAGATTCGCCAACAGCTGCTGCTGCTATGGCAGCACGAGAGCGCGCCAGCAAGCCGCGCGCGAACGGGCGAGCGAGCGACTCAGCTAGGTGTCGGGTTACGGCCACCTGAGGGTCACGTGCGACGCGATCGATGGCGGCCGGTCCGCAGCCTCCGGCGTCGCGCCGCGTTCACGAGACGCCCCCGCTCGCACCTGCGTGGGGTACTTACGCGGCAGCGGCGGCCCGGCCTACGAGCCGAAGCCGAATGCGCGATCGCAGCGCGCGCGCAAACGCGCGGAACTCCGCGTCCATGGCGGCAGCGGCGGCGTCACGCGCGACGCGCCGACGCGGCCTCTCGCTGCTGCTTCTCGCTGCTGCTGCTGCACGGGCGCTGCGCAGCCGCCCCCGGCCTGCCGGGCTCCTTCAGCCTTCGCCACCCGACGCCGCGGCCGCGCCTCCATCTCGCGACTGAGCCCGAGCCGGCGCTCGCCGCTCGCTGCTGCTCCGTTCCGGCTCCCCGCGCCCGCCCGCCCGTCCGTCCGTCCGCGCGCGCTCTCGCTCGCGCTCCCGCCCGCCCCCGCTTCCACCGCCGCTCGCTCGGCGCAGCGCCGCCGCAGCCAGCGCCAACTGTTGCCGGTCTCTCGCCGCGGCGGGGCTGACGTCACGACGCGCGCCGGTCGATGGGCAGCGGTGAGGGCATGCGTGTCCACCGCTGCCACCGCTACCGCCACCAGCGGCGCCGGCGCCGCGCCCGATTCAATAAGCGACGCCCGCTGCCATCGATCGCCGCGCGCTTTCGCCGCGCGCCCTGCTGCCCCCGCGCGACACTCCACGCAGCAGCCCCCGCTCCAGCGCGCCCACGACCCGCGTCGCCTAGCAACCGCGCCGCCGGCTCGACCTGCGCAGGGAGGGGGCGAGGAGCGACAGGGCGGCGCGGGGTGGCTGGCCAGGAAGAGCCACGAGGCCGCGTGCTACGGCCGCCGGGGCGGGGCGTCCGCGGAAGGCACGCGATGCTTCACCCTGTGACCCCGCGCCGCGACCACACCCTGCCTCTGGAGATCGATTCCCGCCTCTCGTCGCCACCCCTCGCCTCCCGTTGCAATTTACTCGTCTCCCCCCCCCCCTTTACCAACTGCGCCTTACCTGGGCTTCCGGTCGCAGAGTGGTCTCTAAAGTCGTCCAGCTCGATTTGTCTCGTAGGGTGCGCATGTCCGGCGGTCACGAGCCCCTGATGAGGGGGCGGGGCAGGGACGTGGCCTGGGTACACAACAGCAAACGTCAGCGCCGGGCGGGGTGGCCTCGCACGATCTTTCAGCGGAGCCGCCACCGCCGCCGCCGCCGTCGTCGTCGCTGTCACTTCCACTGTCGGCGAGCCTCGCCTCACCGCACTCCTGCATTTTTGTTATCCACCCAATTAGCCTTCCTAGGCGCGAAGGGTCCGCTAAACAGCTCAACGCCGGGAAGCTGTCACACAATCACAACACCGAGGCAGCAACGATGACAGCGACGGCGGCAGCGAAGATCGGTGTGTTGCTCGCCACGGACCACCTGGCGAAGACAGTGGGTCGAGCTGTAGCGTACCTCGAGCTCATGCAGAGTCGCTGCCACCACCCCGATGCCGGCTACGAATGCCGGTCCACAACGCCACGCCACGCCGCGCGGCGCCCGGCCCGGTCCGGTCCGCGCGCGCCGCGCTTCTGCGAGTGGACGCGGCACTGTCTTCGCGCGGGCGCAGCCTCCTCGCCACCACCCCGCCCCGAGCCACCCCTTCACCGCCCGGGCGCCGGCCTCGTTCATCGCGGGCCGGGCCTCGGGGCCCCGCCGGTCGCCACGGCCTCGTGCCGCCCGCCCGCCCGGCTTGCTCGCGTTCGATACCACCGGCACCGCTCGATACCTCGCCCTTCCGGAGCCCGACCTTTGCAAAAGGTGCGCGGACGCAAAGGTCGCGGCGCGCGGGCCGGGCCCCGTGGGTCGCGTCCAAAGGTCTGGCCCACGACCCACGCGTCCCGAGGGCCCCTCGGCTCGCCCAACCGGTCGGCCGCGCCGCGACCCCCTTCGCGCTTCCGAGCAGGTCGAAGCGAACAATAGCGCCCATTCGTAGAGGGACGTGACCTTCACCGCAACGTCGTAATCATGAGGCCGGATGTTTCCACTCGCACAGCCTGTTCCCAAATGAACTCACTTTAACTGTCCTTTTAATAGAAACCCTCGTTTATTTAATTTTTTTTTTTTTCCTGTGAGTGCACGATGTTGTTGTAGTGTTATAGATTTACACCATCTGAAGCGCCCAGTGGATATTAACTATCTTAATAGCATTGTTTCAACACATTCATAAATACAAAAATTGTAGGTTTTCTTTCTGAAAAATTAGATTCCTTAGTTTTCCTGCGGACACAACCGTAATGTAACCTCACAACATACGGTTCGAGGTTACGTGCTCCCACAACAAGAACATGAAATACCCAACACGATTTCGTAGCTATAAAAATTTCGTTTAATTATATGAAATTCCTCAAAACACAATTACTCTCAAACAATTAATTTAATATTTAAAAAGGGTATGTGTATTTATAATGACAACCATTCGATCATATCGAAATGTACATTATCTCTTACCTACAAGTCCTTCTAGATCGGCATATTCACCCCTATTTTTGATGACCATTTCTGCATTCACGAACACGTGATCAACTTTCCGAAATTATAATTTTTTCGCGATATATCTACTACCAGCACTTGTTTACCTCACCCTATGGCGCCATGTTGGCGAACTGTCAAAGAAAAAACCAAACGTCCGATAAAATTCACGTTTGTCATTAACGTTTGAAATTGATTTTCTAGGTTAAACTTGTTGAGAAAAAATGTATCAACAATTTTCATTTACAACTGCTTTACTCTATTTGCTGAACTCTTGGTTTACAGATATCGCAACGTTTATCTCTAATTACACATGGCGGCAAATACGAATATTCCACTGAACTGATTTCGTAACAAATTGACCTTGACCACGAATGCCATAATCGCTAAGATTCATATTGGCTAAACTGAAGGTCAAGATTCAGTTACTTCTAGAATTTTGGAAGACGAAAATATTTCATGTTTCCGAACTAGTTAAATTGCTTTATTTCTATTATGATCGAATTTTCAAAAATATTACTTCATGAATAGTGTTCATCAAACCAACAATGTATATTTTTAAATACCAACCATCGACAAATCTTCCAACAGAATAACACTGCTCTATGAAGGCCATGGATTCAAGGTTTTGCCAAGGATGTAAATAAAAAACTGGTCAAAATACAGTTATGTATCAATATATTATAATGGAAATCAAAGACATGTAAACACCCAATATATTACACAGAATTTTACAGCAAACATTGTTAAGAACCGCCTCCCTCCTCCAAGGAATTAGTTTTTGGCACTTCACTGCCTCAGATTAAGTTGCATTATAAACTTTAAACATAAACAATATATCACACTTCACGATAAGGTGCATTAAATTATCACTTTACAAGCTTGGATGTTATAAAAAATTCTTTTTACAAAATAAATATAGTAAAAACTGCAAAGAATAAATTATCAGTACATACATGTACCACAAGTAATCAGCAACCTGTCAATGAGTTTAAAAAAAATCTGCCAGAGGAACCTCAAAAACTAAAGTAAATCAAAAGCATATTGAAATGTTTGTTGAAAGACTTCACTTTTAGTTTCAATATTAGAACTGTTATTGGAATAAAAGACATAATATAAACAATTTTTCTTCTTTCACAAAACTTTCCTCTACATGACAGCAGGGAAATTCCTACACCAAGACAGGAGGAACTTTCTAGCTTCTCTGCAAAGCTAGAGAAACACTTGGTGACAGCCCTGTCCACTCACTGCCTTTCCCCACTGTCAACTCATGTTTCTACACATGCCACAACCATTAAGGTTGCATTGCAGCTTGGGCAGTCCAGCCAAGGCCGAAGTAGTCACTATATATGGGAGGTTTATGCTACCTATCTATAAGCCCAGCCATCTGCAGCAGAGCAGAGCGGGCAGCCTCTGCTCACTTGCGCTGAGCTGGGGGCACATACATCTGTTGCTGGGCACGAGGGGTCTTACGCTCTGATCCTCCAGGACCTGACGCACCAGAATTGCTGCCGCCTTTCACATAAGGACGTGTTCCTCCACGCCGGAACTCTAGCACTCCTACAACACCATAACATGTTGTAAATCAACTAGGGCATGTGTATAAAAATAAATGGTCACGCTACATCTGATAAAAAAAAAAAAAAGAAAGAAAGAAAGAAAAAAAGAAGGAAACCAAAAGAAATAAAATAAAATATTTTTTAAAACAGCAGAAAAATGAGAGAGGAAGACAAATTGCAGGGCTGAGTCTTGAGAACATCTGAATTTGCTGCAAATCAAATGAGTGAGTACATTAGAAATTCGATATTAATCAATAATTTGGATTGGTTAACAAAGAAACACTTTTAGAATAGAAGATAAAGCAGTGAATGAACAAAAGATTCTGAATTAATATACTCCCTGTAAATTATATGAAAGCTTTCGAAATAATACAGACACACATACCCAGAAAGACTCCCACCTTCAAGAGATATAAGCACAATATTTATATAATGCGTAATGCATTATTTTCATCACAAAACTACCTACCAACCACAGCAGAAGTCAGTCATATCACCACCTAACACACTGAATATTACTGTAGTATTGATTATGGTTGGCAAAATTGTAATTTTCACAGCACAAATTAGATGGATGATAAATGATGATCCTTGGCAACAGTGAGCACCAGAAGGATAAAAACATGCACAATTGACAAATATTACTGAATCTTACTACTTCTAACTACAAAAATCACATTTCTGTGCATGGAATACTTCACACTTAAATCACCAAAATTAATAACTTTAATGAACTGAAAACACATGTAATTATTGTATACAAAGGTCAAACAAAAATGGACTAACAGAAGAGAATAAAAATATTAAATACATAGGTGTGTGAATTACCATGGACAAATTCTAAGGCTACAGAGTGCTATAAAATAGGCTCCTACAGCAAAAAATTAAAATAGGTACTATTAAATAATTTGATCACTGATTACTCCATACCCTACCCGAAAAAACAATTAGTTTATTGATTGCGGAATGTTTTAGTAAACTATAGTGTATATATAAAAAACACTGAGAAAATTTAAATAAAATGTTTGCTTGTCACCACTGACATTTCCATCAGAACTGTATGAAACGTAATACTTAAGTATATGTTCATCTTAAAGCATTACATGTAAATAAATTACAATTGCACTCACTTTTACAATAAAAGGGTACTAAAATAAGTACAGGAAATTTTGAAGTTACACAACTGTACCATTTATTCAACTGTATATATATAAATGTATGACAAACATCACGAGTTCAACAAAATGAAAATAAAAAGCCCCTTTCTGTTATTGACACATGTTTATCATTGCAGTTCACGTACAGAAGATAAAAAAATCAACATTTTTATTAGGAAATAAAAAATAGTTGAAAGGAATGGAAGAAACATTTAAGAAAGGGTATATTACAATGATGACAAATAGTTTGTTAAAAAGAATAGTAGCAACATCAAAGCGTGCTTCTCATTAAGCATGCAAATAAGTAAACATTAAAAAATGCAACTCAGAAGTAACAATGTAATATGTTTATAACTGGTAATAATTCTACTACAAATTAAGTGACCATAGTAACTACAGACCACAACAGAAAAGTCAACAAAAAAGCAACACACTTCAACATAGTCAAATAATAATCATTGTTCTTAACAAATCACAGAGCACATAAATGTTCTCACAAAGGAGTAAAATAAATATGGTATTCCAAGTCTCGTCATGAATTTGTTGACATTTTTAATTACTGAAGGTTCTGTATAGGTTCCATTCGATTGCTGCATAAGGCTGTACTGGGAAGCAAAAAAAAAAATAAAATAAATGAAAAGAACTATTTGGTAAACAATTCAAAACAAATTACAAAAACAAAGTAATGTATCACAAGAATTACCAATAATTATGGAATTTATAATAAATAAATGCACCACACAAATACCTCACCAACCCAATTTCATAGTTTCCTCAAAAACAAAACAAAAAGGCTCAAAAGGAAAGAACTTTGGGCCAAAATAATTTGTAGTACTTGCTGTAAATAAAAACTTTGAACTTGAGTCAATGAGTCTTTATTAGCTACTAATACATAATAGTTTGCCTACCTGAGAAATGGTTCTGATTATTATTCTGTGCAGACAGAGTATCAGAGGAGCTGTTGAAGGCACTGGAAGACTGAATGGTCTGCCCCAGCTCATCCTGAAGAAGCAAACACAGCACTTTCAATTTTGTACATAATTAACTGGGTGTTCAAAAATTATGTATATTTTCATTATATTCAGTAATGTTAATGTAGAACATAATTATTCACCTGAGTAAATGGTATACAATGATCCTGAAGTACTTCTTCAAAATTGCCATATTCAACAAATCGAACTACACAAGTACGTTCAGACACACCAGTTACTTCAGCATTGTAGTACTGTGGAATAAATAAATCCAAAACACACATATTAATATATTTCAGTTACAAATTTTAAATGCAAATGACAACTTTGAACATAATAAACATACCATGTTGTCTTCCCAGTACTTTGCCATGCACTTATCTCCTTCATGCCACTGCCAAGGTTTCTGCTCCGGAAGAAAGTGGTTGGACTGAGTGTTGTACACACCTCCACCGCTACCACCCCCTCCATAACCTGGAGGGGAACTTAGACCAGGAGGGCTGCCTAGAGGCTGAGTAGGAGTGGGTGATGGGTCCTTGTAGGAATAGTTCATATTGTACAATTGATTCTGCTGATTTGATGGACCTTGGGGACGACTTGAATAACCAAAACCATCCCTACCCAGTCCACCCTGAACCTGCAGGGAACTGAGTTTTTGAGTCAAGGCATCCTGTTGAGAGGAAAATTGCCGTCCACCTGCTAGTCTGTCCATCTTCATTCCCAAACCACGGTTCACCTGACCCTCCAGCCCCATGTCATATCCCCCTGTAAAACCTTGTCTTGGAGCAACATTCCTTCCACCATCATAATTTGACAAGTAACTATCGCCAGGATTCACATACTCATCTCTCAGTTTTCCATTGTTGACAGTGCTGCCAATAGGCCAATTATCATTACTATAGGAATCATTGTAAGCACTGAGCCAGGATTGTTGGCCATAGCCACTATCCTGATTCAGGTGGTGTTGAGGAGGTTGCTGTTGCTGCTGTTGATGGTGAGGTGGCGGTTGTTGTTGAGATTGAGACTGATGATGTTGATGCTGAAGATTGTGTTGCGGATGTTGCTGGTGTGGCTGATGCGGCTGATGCTGCTGATGCTGTTGGTGCTGTTGGTGCTGCTGATGTTGTGGCTGCTGATGTTGCTGGTGCAACCGCTGCTGATTTTGGAAGCGAGGAGGCTTCTGGGGTGGAAGAGTTTGGGCCTGATTTCCAGGATTTCCACCCTGCCCCACAGGGTGTCTGCCTCTGTCAGCCCTTTCTTCACGATGGGTATATCCCATGGAGCCAGATCCTCCTCCACGAACATCACCTATACCTCCCCATGTATTGGATGAATTGTTGCTTTGATTTCCTCGACCTCCACGACCGCTACTGCCACCACTGTTGCTGCCACCCCCACTGTTGCTACCTCCTCGAGGTCCTCCTCGACGTGATTGCTGCTGCTGATGAGGTTGATGATGATGTTGCTGCTGCTGCTGAGCATGTGATGTGATTCGTTCAGGTCGATTACTTTTATTGCTAACTACACTTCGTGGTGTATGTGGCTCAGCAGTAGTTAGCCTTCGATCCACACCAGAGATAACTCCACCATTGGAGACAAAATTACGAGTATCTGGTTCCTTTTCTGAAAAACAAGAAACGGGAGGAAATAGAATAAGTATATTTTTTACTTCAGCCACTCAAATCACTGGACAAACCTCCAATATTTATAACAACCACCAAAACAGAATTGAAATAGTATCAATCATTTGAAATAGAAATACTGCATAAAAAATTGATATACATTTAGTTTTTGCTTAAATGATTTATTGCTTGATATATATTATTTATGACGTCTGCAGAGGAAAAATTTCTAGAATACAATCCTATCTTCTATCATCAATTATATACACATGTACAACAAGCAAAATGTGAAATAACTCATGGTTCCCACTAATCTCCTGAAACTTATCCTACATTTCCCATACATGATTTCAGCAATAAATTTAGCCAACCATGACAAGTACATTCATCAATACAAAATTACAATTTTAAATCAAAAGAAAACTATACATTAATGGTTTTTCATTTAACCCAAATGTCATCGCAGTAAGGTGGTATACCATAGTCATCCATAATCCTCATATGTATGTGGTAACTAAGCACATAACTCGAGAACACTAATAATTATTATTAAGTTAATTTCTCTACTCATTGTTCCCTATCACACTTTTGTACCACTCTAGTACTTGAGTAAAAATGACAAGTTATCTTCTTGAATATTTTGAGCTATATTGATATGCCCTTTCCCCCCATTTTTTCACTGTATTTAAAAAAGTCAGTGAACCACCCACAACATCAAGTGAAAGCAGAACACTGAAACAAGTATTTGGGAGATGAAGATCCATCTCAGTGAATATGACAAAGAAAAATAACACCCAAATAATAATAATAATAAAAATAATAATATGACCAGAGATTGCTGTACGAGTGCAATAAGTTTCTGTATTGGTACCAGTGATGATTTTTGGGTACTATTTTAGTTCCTTATTCGACTAGTCGAATTTCCCATTCTGAGGACTCCTCCATATGATGAGGAGCAATTTATCTTTAATTTCCACATTAATCATTTTAAGTATCAATGAACAGAATGCTTAACTGACTCGGTTATGCAATTTTGTTTAATGATATTGTCTTATAAGCTATCACATGTTCTTATTCACAGATATTAAAAGTAAGGTTTTATTAAATCTTTTAGGTAAAAATCCATTGCGTTTCCCCAAAGCTTTCCTACTTTCTCAAGTAAACTTACCATTTTGGACAGGCAGCTTGTCTTCAAAGAAGTCAAACAAAGTTACTTTCCCAGAGGGCTTTGGAGGAGCACCAGTCTCCTCCTCTCTGACTCCACGTTTTCTTCTCTCTGGACGTTCTTCCTTTGCTCGTATTTCCCCTTTGCGTTCTCTATCATCTCTGCGTGGTCCATCTTCCTTCTTCTGCAATTTTATAACTTACATTACAAATTAAGCATTCCTCTCCTATTCCACATTACTAATTCTGCCTTTAACAATACTTGCCCTCACTTCACCACACTTTCAAATAGTGCACATTTCTTTAAATTACTGAAATACACCGAACTGAACATCTAAAACCAACGTTTCTTTTTGAAACACTGAATGAATGCAAATTCTGGAAAATCACACTGATGATTCTTGTGTTATAGTGAAATTCAGTTACCTCCTAGTATCTCTACCTTGGCCTTTATGCACATCAAACATTTTTTTGGCAAAAACAATTATTACAAAGATACACAATAATAAAGCATTATGATAAGGCACAATACTGTCATTACCCTTTGTAAGAATTTAAGCCACGTCTAATTTTCTAGATCCCATTTTTTCACCAACTGTACTATTTACTAACAATTGCAATTTTTCAGAAGTAGAAAAGTTCACTTTTTATAATTAATTTAAAATTTGGTTTTCAATTAAATTTAATGCCTTATATTACGTGGTAAGATTCAGGTCATGAAGCCCGCTCTTCCATCTGACCATGCAAAGTTCGCTACATTCCTTTCACCACCTACTGGAGAAAGACAGTATTACTCAAGTGATGCCTTAGGTGATTTAAATTAAGCTCAAGAGACTTCTTTCAGGCTTGAGAATCTTTTACATGCAGTAAATCTAGTACATGAGACAACTGACTTTACTTCCCCTCCAAAAGAAGGCGAACGAAGGACTTTTCACTCTTAAAAATCCACGGCTTCAATTGGGTTTGAATGCAAACTTGGATATAAAAGCCTGATAAGCCAACTGTTACACCATCGAAACCACAAGTTTTCATACTATTTTTTCACTTGGTATCATTTAATTTATGACAAAATATTTCAATAATTAATTATTTTTTTCTTAATTTGTGTTTTCTGGAGACGGCAAAAACAATTTCTAGATAATTAATACAGATACATATACAGAAATTAAATACCCCATGTCCAACACCCAATGCCTTTTCCTTGACAATTACACACATTAAGACGCATATCCACTACGTTTAATTTTTAACTCCAAGATGTTAAATGTGAAACATATACATATCAAGTATGCCCATATGCATCATATGTATGTTGAATGTTATGCCATTAACACTGTGTCTACATTTATTATTATGTTTGAAATGTTTCTGTTGACAAAACTGACATAATTCAGTATGTCAATTATATAAACATTGTATTATTTTAACATTTTATGTAGATATTGACAGTACAATGGTGTCATTTTCTTTTCAACCATAACCCAGGAGCAGCTGAATATAACCATTCTAGTATATCTGAAGATAACAACTATCTCCTGACCCTGTAAGTATATTTTGACCCCCCCACCTTACCCCACTCCTTAACTTGTTCCACAAGATGTTTCATACATTTTGGCACATAATTATAGCCTCCAAAAGGTTAATTTTTTCTTCCATTAACCATTTCATCTTACTTAAATATATAAAAATGAAAATTGTAATTGGATGTACAGCTCTTGCTGTGCTAAATCACGATCTTGCCCAAAGTTTAGCTGAAATCACCCAAACAAACACACGTTTTCCAGTCCTCCTGGAAAATCCCAACACATTAAAAAAATTAAGAACAATATGTTAAGAGTTAATATGTTACATAATGGCGTCATGGCAAATACACATTAACTATGTCAGTGTTAAATGTCAGGTAGTGGAGATGTGCCTTTAAAAGGTAGTGGAGATGTGCCTTTAAAAGGTGTAATAGTGGCAGTATTGTCATAATTTGGATTACCACAAATCTGATATAAGATTTCAGAGAATAATACAAATTTAACAAATCAATAAGAAAACTGTCAATAGAAATAATTAGCTTTGCAACTACAAACAAAAAACCTTAAGGCTAGGCAAACTCTTAAAGCAAGAAACAACCTTCAACAGTTGCTAAAAATATGCAGTTTCTCTTTCAGTTTCTGGACTAGGTAGATTTTGTTACTGACTGAAAAGACTGAGAATGCTGGTGATTACTAATACCACAGTGTTTCTCAAATGTCAAGCTCAAAGATATATGGAACACTAAAATGTAGTGCCCAAAACTTTACTTTTCAGGAACTAAATCTGTTTGCTGTTACATTATAAAAAACATACTAGTAGTTTCCTAAAAATTAAGAAGTTTTTAATTACCTGTAATGATTTGAGTGCTCGATCAACACTATTCCGAAATAGGCGCAAAGCATATTCAGCCTGCTCAACACTAAAGCCATGATCCACAATCTGTTGAACATTATGGTCCAGAAGCTAGAAACAACAAATTACAGCAGGTGAATTAACATGGAAACAGCAAAATATAATATTTAAACAATGTTTAATTATTTAAAAATTGCCTGCCAATAGAATGACAATTTTTTTTGCTTTTACACCCTCAACATTTCAGCCAATACTGTCTATCTTTTTTAACCATTTAAAAAAAACTTGTTTCATAATAATATACTGTTATATCAACATTAAGCCAGTAAACAGAGGAATGAAAAATCACTCCTAACATCCATTCAGGATTTTAACAGATGCCATCTCTTAAGAACAATCTCAAGAAATAAGTTTTATGAAAAGACAGCACACGAGTTCTCCCATCAAAGAACAGGTATCTCTCATTTCTATGAATTTCTCTTATGAGAGGATATTATAAAAAGTACTAATTAATTCACAGCTGATAATACATTTAACAGACACTATATGAACGTCCATTACCTTAATTTACAAACTTCAAATAACTAGTTATTTATATTCTATCAGCCAAATTACGTTAATAAACATTACAGAAAAATGAAATCTTTACTTCACTTACAGGCTTATTTCCTCCTCCAAAAACTTTCTTTGCACCTCCCCGGGCAGCTTCTGCTATTGCATCTTTCCTCTGTGCTTCAAATTCCGTATTATCTCTGTTTTCCTTATCTTTAGTATTATCTAAGGACTTAAATAAAAAATGTCAATAAGCAAGCAAATACAACAGTATAAGAATTTAATACAAAATGTAAATATGAAGTACCTTAAAATTTCGATCTTGAGAATTGATTCTTAAAATTTTCTCACCAAATGGTATCCAAGGAGGAGGACCACCTTCCTCACCAATTCGACCACGAGTATGTTTTGCAAGAGACTGTTTACAAAAAGGATTGTCAGAAAAAAAAGAAAAAACAAACAAACTTAATTTGAGAATATAATAAGAAAAGAATCTCACCCGATTAAGTTCCCACTTTTCTACAAGATGGGGCACCTTTCCTCCAAGAACTTCCAAACAAGAAGGTCGTAGTAAGAGGATACCATGAGCCATAGGCAAGTCAGTCTTCAGGAAAAGTTTTGTACCAGGAGGAGTGTTCAAACTAAAAAAATATGAAGATTAACAACAATTAGATAAAATATGCATTATTCTCTCACAAATACAAATCACTTAATGTTTCTCACCTAATAGACGATATGTGCTCCATTTCAATGGCCTGGCAACATGTTTGTCCATCTGACAAAGATAACTTCAACATTCGTGGAGCAGCCTGGGACATTTCATTAGCTTTTGGAGCTGATATATTCCTTATTTTTTGTATCTGTACTACTATCTTCCCGGGTACCTTTACATAACCAAGCACATTATGAGTATTTTCTTGGAAGAAACCAAAACCTGAAAATCAGCACTGAAATGTTTTTCTATACTCACACAATCCAGCTTTCCTTTAGCGATTTCTTCGGGGAAACTTCCAGCACTAATTTCTCTAAGGTCAACCTAGAAATATGGGCAACATTTAAGTACATATATCCGAAAAATCACAACTTTTCATTACAGAAACGTGAAAATACAACTCACATCGATGGCACTACGGACAAAAGCTTTAATATCTCCAATGCTGCCATTGACACCCAGTACATTAAGACCCTCTTCCGTGAGGTACCTACGAAATTGAAAGAAATAAGTATAATATCTATGCACATACACAATCAAAATGCCACACACACACCATCACAATCGCTTCCTTCGTAGTGGTGACAGGCTCATATTTAAAGCAATAATACTTTATATTTACTCATGAAACAACTCTCAGTGTTTAGCTCTTTTACGCGTTTTTATAAAGAACACGTAAAATGTTGAAAAAATACGTACCAGCCGTGCTCTTTCAACTTGTCGGTGTCTGCCATCTTCCTAGGCCAAATCCACACACACAAATGAGAATATAACAGAAGTACAGGCTATCTTAACCATATAAACCATCTTTGCCTTTCGTCACACTTCATGGTTAGGGACTGCTCATACACGAACTACCATTGTACCTTACCTTCAAAGTATATTTCTAAATTTCTGATATAAGCCAATATTTGTGATGTCAAGGTTTCTTTTTCACCCAACTTTCTAGTACTTATGTGATCAGCATACTCCACACAAAGTGTTATGAACGAGTAATTTAGTTTGTAATATATCACGAGACTTTCTACAATAAATGAAATCACATTTTACAGCATTTTGTACGATATCACATCGAACACAAATTAAAATCATGCTCGCATGGGCCGCGATATTCCACGTACCGTGGGAGTACAATGAACCTATATATGGAAACCGCTCCCCCGCATATGCTCTCGTGGACATTCGGTGAACGAAGAACCCGGAACACACACTAATACGATTAATTTGAATTGTCAGTAGTGTACATACAGCCCTTATTTTCATTTTCAACGCTTATTTACATCTCACACGTAAATATTTAAAAGTTTAATGAACTAGGTTTGTCCTTTCCAAAGTACCTTACTTACGTATTCACGTAAATGGTTCTTAAAGCCATGCAGAATCCGATATGGTAGGACCAGATGAATTGGATAAGGGCGAAGGAAATTGTGACACACATTAAAAGAAAGTGATTTTCACAAATCCAGCGTTTACTGATGCAATATAATACAGGATACAAATCAGCTTCTTTACCCAAAAGGCAATTTAAGTTTGGGAGGTTGGGCACATGAAATAGGTTAATATACATAATCGGTTAAGTACTCGATACTTTACAAGTGAGTGAAAAGGTGACACAAAACCAAAATAAACATTTCAAAGGTCCCATTCATTCTATCACAATGCAACAACCTTCCAATATCACACTTTGACATATTGACACATTCACTAAGGAGCAAAATCATTCTAAATATACATATTTAAATATTCATCCATGCAACTTTCTATTAATTATATTCTACTCTTGGCAAAATAATCCAACTCACATGGACTTGTTCACCATTGCAAAACTTACTTGCTTATATCCAACAAATTATATACCACATTCACTTCCTTGACATTAATAAACTTCAAATATCTGATTTAACAAGAGACAAGCATACACACAATATGCAGTTAGTCCATGATCACTGCAAATGGGAATCTGCAAAGTTGAGCAGTACATACGGGGGAGGGAACCTGCCATGCACCAATTTGAACAAAATGTTCCAATAAATATCTATACCTTAAAGGTTGTTTGAAAAAAAAATAGCAATTTTAAAGTATATAATAATAAAATAAATTTGTGTAGCCATTTACTGAAAAAACTATCCAGAAACAATTTATCTTTGGAATTGATCCCTACAGTGAATCACCAGGCAGGCACTTACTCACAGCCTGTCCATAGAAGAGTCCTTACCCAGCCCTCCCAGTAAGTTACTACACCCACAATCAAAGATTGTATTTTCATGACAGTTTACACAATGAAATGCCATACTTCCAGCTCTGAACCAACATCTCTTTGTAAGCATTCACAATTAATCAGAAAGTAAATATTGCAGCACTAGACTTGGCTACACAAGGCAGTGGATCTAGTGGAAAAAGTTACTAAGGCTGATTCGCAGGAACAAATCACTGACACCAAACTGAATAATTGCAGAGTATGTATATCACATTTTGAAAGAACATCGTTTCCACAGAATCCAGTCTACGGTGCATGCAAATGGAATTTTATGGAGAAACAAGACATTTGACAGCAAGGTAAGATTTGGAAGTTGAGAAAGTCAGGCAGTTTCACTAGTAATCGAATTAATAATTTTTTGTTCTAGAGACTAGTCAAGTTATCTTGCCTGCCTTTCTCAAGCTTGCTCCTTAGCAATGACACTGCACCAACTGCAATTTGCAATGTCTTTTTATGATGCTGTCAATGCACTTAAAAACAATGGACGAAATGTGCAACCATTGCACATTCTACATATTCCAGTTTCATCCAGTCCAAATTTTTACAAGCTAGCTGATCTGAGTATATTTATGATAGATATAAAATATATACAATATTCTCCAGGATTTAACACCCTTATTGAACTGAACATTTCAGACAAATTTCAGTATTCAGCGAATCACATAAAGGAGACCCTGAAATACGTAGGTATGCTTGTTAAGGATGAATGAGTGAAAACATATATTTAAAGAATATAGTGCTTTGAAAACTGAAAGATCTACAGAGTTGTGAAGTCGGTTGTTGGAGAGAGACTAGCAGGCAGTGGCACAGGGCCAAAGGGGCTTGAGAAAATAGCTGTCTCAGAGACCATCGCGATGCCACACCCACTTCTTCGAGGTATGATCAAATCGATGAGCCAACCATTGCTGTTCCAACAGTTGGTAGCGGCCCGGAGACAGGTACAAAGGCTTGCCCCGTCTACAAAACAGCAAAATAGTTCGTTTAGATCTTATAATTTAAAAGACATTAAAGTGCACAATTTTGCAACACACAAATGAAAATACTCACTTGAGCTCACGGTCTTCCTCACCAAAACTATCCAGGTACACTGATCCCCACAAACAAGCTCGCTTGCCACGAATCACAAGAATATAGGATGAAGTTACCACTAAATACATGGCTGTGCCACCACCGCAGTCAATGGAGTGCTAAAACATGAAGAACACATGTTTAGACAATTTAGATTACATCAGATGCAATTTATAAGAACAATCAAACACAATACTGATGAATAAACAAACATAACTAGTAACACAAAGAGAAATGAAAAAGAGTAAAGGAAGTAGGAAATAAGAAAAGAAGAAAGGTAAACAGAGACTATAAATGAGAAGAATCAGAAAGAAAGAACACAAATGCAAGGATAATAAAAGGGAAGAAAGAGAGAATGAGGACTCAAGAGAAATTCTACACAAGATGTTTAAGATGGTAAGAAAGTGTTGAAAGAAAAAAATAGTATTATGAAGAAGGAGATGGCAGAGGAGGAGGAGAAGAATAAGACAGAGATAGAGAACATAAAGAAGGACAAGAAGATGGAGCCGGTTAATAAAAAGGAAAAAAACATATGCATTACATACCATGCAGTTAATTTGATTGTTAACTATTATTTATCACATTTATGTATATTTGAGCACACACTATGATTCTCCTACTAAATGAGTTTTCTCCTTTGTTTCTAGTGTTTATTGCATCATCATCATTATCATTATTATTACTATTATTATTATTATTATTATTATTATTATGATAGTATTATTATTCATTAATTATTAGTTATTATTAGTCTATATTATTAACAGACAGTGAGAAACATAATATGCATGATACTTTTAGAAATGCACACTAGGTTTGTAGAAGTCTAGAAACTATTATCCAAACAACTATCAAATATTTCCCTTAGAAGTTTGTTAACAAACTTCCAAGGGAAAACTTTTATAAATAAAGTAATCACCTACTTAAAAAACCTGAGTATTTTCTGATTCTCCAATGAAATTTAATATCCCACAGTCAGTCATGCATCCACATAAAACATTCCACAAGAACCTCAATTACAATCTTCTGAAAATTCCAGTTGGAGAACCAAATATTAGAAAATTGAGACGTCTTGCAAACACTTTCCTTTTATTGAAATTTTTAATTATTATTTTAATAAGAAGTTGCTCAAAGAGACCAGAATGTTCAAGTTTGTTGATTATTCAGAAGCATACTAACACACATTTATTATAATACTAACATGTATGTTTTATCTTTTTAAATTATCTTTTGAACATTTCGGTGTATTTTCAATCAGTATATCAAAATCATTAACAGTATTTATACCGCACCACCAGTAGAAAAGAGTCGTAACACCCAATAAATTTAATTTTGAGTTAAATACCTTATTTAAAGTGAATTTTTATGCTCTTGCATCCTAGAATAGTGTAGTTTCCTTTTAGGCCTATTTTAGTCAATTATTGGCAATGTTCGTACTTCATAAACATGATTTGATAATGTAATTTTTAAAACCTTTTAAGCACTCTCCTGAATAATCACCTTCTTTGAGTCATGACTTTTTTTTATACAGAGGATGTGATTTATTGACTTCGGCAGTACCCTTCACCATCAATGTTCATGAGCTATTGATTCTACTACAGGATGCCTAATTATATTGAATATAATGAGCCATTTAACGTTTATGAATTTTGATGAAATTCGTGTACCAAGTTCCTCACGTCTCCAAAGGAACTTTTGTGAGTTGTAATTTCATAGATGAAATAGTTTTCAGGATTTAGTTGTTTGTAAAGGAAGTAGGAAATGAGAAAGTGTTGCAATCTTTAGTGTTGTTGAGCAGAATGATTAGATTTTCTCAACTATGGGTCATGCATTATTTCTTTCTGCGTTATTGCTAACAAATGCTAAACTCAATTTTGGGAAAATACTTTGAAGGGAGAGTTTCAAAAGTATCAAAAACAATTAAAAACATAGTTTGCTGTTAAATGTCTTTTAAAAGCTTCTTCCTAAACATCTGCTAATCATCACATAAGATTTATTTTATTGGAAGACTATACGGATACCCATGATACTTAGAACCTAAAACATGGTGCCAGAATGGGAACCAGAATGATGCCCCATAAGGTTTTGAAATCTAGATGAAGAAACCAAAATCAGTCTTGGAAACATGCATGAAGAGAGTCCACCATGGCTGGTGTTGCACATCTATCGGACATGACCCCTAAAGTGCTGGGGGGTTGCTAGTTCATGTTCTTGAACTGAGAATGATAATCAAAATGTCAAGTTACCATAGATCAATGCCAAAATCAGCCTACAATATAAATGCCTTAAAATGATAGAATGCTGTTCAGTAATTATAACCATCATCACGGTAACATCTTCCAACTTTGTCTCTTAACTTATGATATTACATGCCTGCATATAAACACAAAGATAATATAAATGATAAACAAGGTTAATTATTTATCATAAAATGATTTTAACAAAATCAAAATATTAAGTATATTATTTAATGAATATTACATAGTTTTAAATTAAAAAATAGTTATAATTTGTTATTAAAATCATTGAATTCCAAGCTGCCAAACAACAAAGGATAAGGGTATTATATTTTTCATTCTATGATACAGCTGTGAACAGATAGATTTTAAATAAAAATACATAACATTGATTTAAATTAAACATTCGCTTACAAACAAAATTATTGTACAGGACTGCAGAAAATCAACAGTATTTCACAAAATATGTCTAAAACCCCTTTAACTTTTTAATTTTTTTTTTCTTTCTCCTTTTTTCTTATTTTATTTAGGTATTTTATTTCCCTTCTTCAGTATATTATTGTGCCGTTTCCAAGCATATGTAAGTGATCCATGCCCTATTCTTTTGTTTCGGGCACAATGTAATTGCATAAAATATCACAGCGGCCCACAATCGCTCAATGGAAACCTCAAAAGGGTCTTTACTCCTTCAATACTTTTATGGTTGCATCGACCACACTTCAATACGTTGAAGTCGCCATAGCAAGAAGAAAAAGATAAGAGCTGTCACATGCCTCTGGAGACCAAAGGCATTTTCCATACGTACCACTGGGCTAAAATACTGCATGAATCACGATTCCCATTAAACTAAAAGGCTAAGAACAGAACATGCAGTTACTTTATCAATACATTTTAGACATTTCTACATTTTCTTTTCTTGTGTTGCTCATTTTTATCCAACATATGAAATTGTTTTGATAGAAAATTTTACATAATTTTTCTAGTTTTTATGGTGTTTAAAAACTTTTAAGTGCATTTTATTGATGATTTTTGCTGAAGTTTTATGTCATCAAAATCTGCTCTAGTAATTATATTTCCCCATTCTAGGGAAATGTGTGTGTATGTAGGGGGCGAATTTCTGTCATCCCATCTATGTGAATCCAAGCCTATCTAGACTATACAAAATGTGTTGATTCTAATAAGATAGTGCTTTAATTAATTTCATACAATTTTTGCAAAAAGCTTGTCATATTTATAGTTGATATGTACAGTACTGGTAAAAGAAGATTTACGAGATAGACAATGTGCCCCAGATAGTGGTATGTCACTGGATACCTGGCACCTGACAGTTTTTTTTGGAGAAGTCAATTTACAGTTATAGCCCCAAAAGGGATACAATTCCCCCATTTTCTCTACCTAAGCACAGAAATGATTCATTAAAATTATACATAAATCAGCCATATTTGAAATTGTCAATTGTACTAAAAATTAAATATTTAATAATTTGGTTTTGTAATCACTTATATTTAAGAGTTCAATAATAGCGTTGACCGGCAGGCAGACAAGAGGAACGACAGACAGGAGGAGCAGGCAGACAAGTGGGGTATGGGCAGTCAGGAGAGGCGAGCGGGACAGACGGACGGGAAAAACAGGAAGGCGGGACGGACGGCACAGACAGGCGGGAAGGACGGCACAGACAGACGGGACGGATGGCACAGACAGGCCTGCGGGGTTTGGGGGGGGAGCTTGTATCTCCCATCAGCAGGGTACCACCTCAGCCACGAAAAGGTCAAAGCTCTCGACTGCTATCACAATGTGTGTGGTGCATGTAAGTGTGTGTAAGTAAAGGGTGAGAGTATGTCAGGGAAGAGGAAGGAAAGATTGAGCGCGATCAGTCGACCCTTGTTCGAGTACTGCTCCGGCATTCGCCTGATGTTGATCCACGGAGAACAACTGATCACAATAGCCCGCCGCTAGAATTCTCCACTTCATTAAATGAAATTCACCACTACATGCTCACAGTGAAAAAGTGATAATTTTTTTATCTCCTACATGCACCAGCCGGCCGATAGAATTGTTCTCCATTCAGCGGCTGAACTCAGCCTAGATATCTAGCTAGTGTCGAAATCCTGTCCCCCCAGAACTCTCGGGGCAATGCAGTGACAACAGTTGACGCCATGAGCCACCTCAGCCAGTAATGGGTCTTGTGTGAACCTGTGCTACACCTTCAGGCGGAACGCTCAGTGTGAATCTACCCCGTAGACCTAGAGCAAAGTAATGATCTCCATTAAAAGCTAACAGTGATGTGCGTAGGCATGAGTGGTAGGCGATGGGCGTTTTTCGCCAAGTTTTGAGAGATAAACGCCGCCGGTGTAGCACAAATATTAAAACAGTGAAGCCCTCACTTTGATCCACTACTACTACTACCACCACCACCACAAAGACATGGGTCTAGTTGCTATAAGGGGCAAAGCCGGGGTTACGAGAGCTGCCCGATACCAGTGGGGACATTTGAAGTTTTGGGGGTAGCAGGCAGCGGCCCGCGCTGACTCTCGGGACAGGTGGCAGTGTTTTTTTGGTACTAGAGTCGTGCGGTTGACGGAGTCTCGAGCGAGCAGTCGCGAGCACCTATAGCTTACTTCACCACACTGAAGTTGGTGGTAAGGCGGGACTCATTCCCCTCATAGGTGAATGTACATGCTTCACATTGAATCAAGAAACCGATTGAGATGGCAAGGATAACTGTTGTTGCTGCAATGTTTCTAAACCAGAGATCTAGGATTTGGGGTCCGATGACAATTAGCCATTAGCTAGTAAGCTAGCAACATTGAATTCAGCAGAGAAGAAACCTCGCCATCTCCCAGGATACAACATGCACTTCACTTACAGGTCGATGGTTCGATTGACAGGCCCGAAAACACAGAAATTATCAATGCATCTGATTTAGAACAATTACTGAGCCATGATGAAGGAAAAAATTATGAAGATTAAGTGCTGTTACCTTTCAACAGCTCATCATTTGTAGGGAGACGGAATCAGTACTCTGGTCCCTTCACACCAGATTTTGTACATGAAATCAAAGCATCTGCTCAATGATATAGAATTCAGCTGAATTTGCATGCCACCTGACTCTCTGAATTGTTATTTCATAAAATAATTAGACACAATGATTTGAAGTGCTTATTGAGGAAAATATGTTTCTATGGATCTTGACTGTTTTCTAAAATATTTATATCTATGTGAAATAAATACTTTCCTTTTTTTCTGAGCAGTCACTTAGTGTTAGTATGATCAGCAAGGAAATCAAAATGGTTTTTGAGTTTTTGTAATTGTAGTGTGGTATGTGTTGCTTTCTGAGTGATAAGACTGAAAATGTATAGATAAATGAGAGTGATGACAGTGATGAAATGAATGTGATGAAAATATTTTAAAAATTGCCAAGTCCTGTTGCTCTTTTGACAAAGACTTGCTGAGCCTGCGTAAAAATTTCAAAAATTTATGCAGTAAATAATACCAAAGTACTATAATTTTTAAACCTATATTCAGTTTTTAAATTACAATTCAACGATATAAATGAAGTATTTTGAGCAGAATCAGCTTTAAAACAGTAACTGATATTTTGTTTTATTAACATCAGTGACACACAAAGATATTTGTATATTTCCTCTCGCATAGTTGGGAAAAGCAATTGAAACTGGTCTCGTCACCTCAACCGACAACAGAGCAAAGTTCTTCAAAAATACAATATTCTTTTACCAATATACTTATCACTTACACAAATGGAAATATAGAGTGGAGTATCATCTCTTAAACACTAAGCTTTGAATAAAACATGTAAAACTAATGGTGGTCCAACACCATATACTTTTTTGCACTATTTCTAAAATTGCAATTTGCAACAATTCAGAGTTCAACGAAAATTAGACTCGCATCACATTCCTTTAAGAATCCCTTCTTCCATCCATGGAAAAAATTTAAAGAAACAATTTGGAACAATTTTGAGAAAAAAAAGGTTCAATTTTTTTTTAAATTGCTTATATTGAATGTCTTTTCTCTTTTCTCTCACTACTGTATATAACATTCTGCTCTATTAATGTTCAGCCCTAAGCTGCCATTGATTGTGGTTCTTCTGGGTTTACTCAATCACTTACAGCATATGCTGGGATGGTCCCTTGTTTTGCACATTTAGTCCAGGCATAAATATACAGCTTGACACAACCCCTCTCTTAGTCCCTCTTTCTTCTTCATTTTCATTTATGTTTCCCTTCTTTTCATATATTGACAACGTTCGGTTCTAAGCTGCAATTCTAATTGAGATTTTTGGGGTATACTCAATCGTCTAAGGCATATGCCGGGATGAATGCCTAGTATTGCACTTTTCCAATTTTCAAAAAATCTGGGATGAGATCTGCCTATTTTCTTAAATGTGCCTTTTTTCTTAATGGTGCCTTTTTTACAAAATTTTGAAAATGTTTTTGAGGTTTCATGTAAAGTACTCTCAAAAATCATAATATCCTTTTGAAACTTTAAATCTTGAGTTCATTGTGTTTGATTAAGGAATATCAATTTTGAAAAAAATCAGTTAAACAGTTTATGTGCCAACGTTGACCACAGGTTTTGGTTTCAAGGACCACAAAACATGGACACTGGCTACACCACATGTAAGAGGATTTTTTTATACCTAGCAACAGGCGTTATCCTCTTTTCCATTACCAGGGTCCAGAATAAGAGTTTTTCTGACAAAAATTTGCCTTTTTCCAGTGCACAATTCAAACTTCCTCTTCTTACGAACTATGTTCGTGAGAGCAAGGAAGTAAAAGCAACATTTTGTAGAACACAGGATAGGAAAATAAAACCTGTGTCCCTATGGAACACAAAAATCTATATTTATAGCTCTAAGACTCATCGAATTCCAGTTATGTACAACAGCAGTGTCCTACAGCATGTCATGGCACACCATATATTTTATTTAATTCTATATATTTGAATCACGTATTATAAAAATTTTTTGCTTTTGCACTCCTCCATATAAACTTTAATTATGTCAAATTTCACACTCCTCCGTACACACAATACACAATATGCTTAAAAGGGGGTACGAAGTTTTGTCTTCACTTATTAATATACAGATTAGTGAAAAATGTTGAACTTCCATTTCCTTGTTGTACATGCTCAGTGATTTAATATCAGATAATCAGAATATTCTCCAAGTGTAAGCAATCAGACACATTAAAAAAGTGTAATTATGCATTCAAAATCAAGCTCACCTGTACAGCCTCACACACATTATGTTGCTTGCAGCAGTTCTCACGTAAACATACTAATGCACCACATAGTAAACATATACTGGTTTCACGTGGAACTGAGTGGCATTGTGTACATTGCCGACGATGGTAGTACTGAAAGATACGATCATAAAGCTCAGGCAAGCGAAGCAACCTAGGTTGCTGCCACAGCAAATGCTGCTCAGCCAGGAAGTTCCTTGCTGACACCTGTGAACGGTGTGCAAAAGCAGCCATTTCCTCACACCATGCTCTCGCTGCTCCGGCTTCACCATAAGCCCAGTTCAAAGCCACAGCAGCATTGAAATGTTGCCAGTCCATGCCTTCCGAGACAAGTTCCAGATAATATACAAGTCGCACAAACTCAGATTGAGGTGTTGTAACATCAGGAAGAGGCTGTTCGTATAAATGATGTCGAAGAAGGGCAGCCAATCGCAGGAATGGCAAACACAATTGCTGAACCTGAAACAAAATAAAATTCATAAATACTATAATACAATGCATGTGTAACTATTATATTAAATCATACACATCAAACATGATTCATCCAGGTTATAAAAATTGTCTGGATTGTTGAAATGAACCAATGAACAGACTGATAGATGTTTCCAACGAAAAAAATAACTGGCTAAAATTGTGTGTACAATTGTTCATTCTAATTGTTACAGGAAAAGGGAGGAACAATTAAAATCATCTAAGTAAATTTCTAACAATTTTAGTCACAAGTTAATACGGTTTATATGTAAAATATCAATTACAGACTGTATTATTTATACCACATTAGGTCACAACCAAATACAGTATATAATCAAATACATACAGTATTCACTGACCACACTTTTTTTTTTTCACTAGAAATGAAATCTGAATTATCGAGTCTGTGTTTTTTTTTTTTTTTTTTTTTTTTTAAATATTTTTAGGTTTATTTGAAAGTGGCTACCCTGAATTTTAAATATCAACGAGGAACTATTATTAATCCAAAAAACAAATTTGGAATATGGTGATATGTTCATTACTATACATCAGTCAAAACATTAAGAAAATACTACTGGTTAAGCATTGTGATCTTCAAATTGTGCATACTTTTATCAATGCTATTTTAAACTAGGTGTGCAACAACAGTATGTAGTACATAGCATAGCTATAAAATGGGCAATGATAGTAGCAGCTCAAAATGATACTTGTCCTCATGGCAGTAAAGATCTTATAAAAGACACAACAGCATACTTTCTCAAATTAATTTCAACTTTTGCAATTTTCAAAAGTTTAAAGTTTTAATGAAAACTTCATCTGCTCTCTTGTAACAAGCACATTTTGCACCATCTCGGAGGAAAACTTAAAGAAAAATTGCGATTTTTGAGAAAATGTTGTTTTAAAAATTGCCTTTATTTATCACAAAATCACCACATTGATCAGGGAACAAACTTAAGTGAAAATTCTGCTTACTATTTAGCTGCTAGCACTCACAGATGAATAGACGGGTGTTTTGTCATTAACCAATTTTTCATTATATTTTCATTATATTTCATCAATTTCAAACATTATAAAGGACCCACAGAACATGAATTCTGACTACACAATGTATTAGAGGAAGTTATTTACTATACATGAGACCATGAATTATATCCTTTTCTGGGATCAAAGGCCTACAATATGAGTTTGTTTAAAAATTGCTGTCTTCTATAGCAGCATTACTATTGTTTCTCTTTAATAGCTAAGTAGTATGCGAGAAGGTAATAAAAGTAGTCTGATACATTATATCATTTAAAAAGGTAGAATCAAAGTTTCAAAGAAATATCCACCTGCTACAAGGTAATTTTCTTCAATTTTTAATGATGAGTCATGTTGATTTCCTTGACCACATTAAACCAACCATCACAGTTGTATTAAAGTCAAGTTAGTAAAACATTCACAAACACAAAAACTGAGAACATACCTGCATTTCCAGATCTCCAGCTGATGATGCTGAACTTTCAGTACTGCCCTCCAAATACAATTGTGAATGTTCTAACGTTTGCACAACAAGTGCAACAGCTGCATCAAGAGACCATCGAGCACCAGGCATCGGTTCTGGACAAGATCGCCGCCTCGCACGTTCTGCTTCAGGTAAGTGACAGCTCAACTGAGCTACTACTTGGAAGTACAGAAGATTGTAAAGCACCTTCACTACACATGAGAAGTAGGCTGAAAAACATAATTGACGTCCATCAAGTCATGCAAGGCATATTAACAAATAACAAGTTATCAGAGTACACTGTGGTTTTCTGAATTTGATTATAGTTTTCATTTTTTACTCTGTGTAATTCCAGTTTTTCAGCATTAAATGTGTGTTTGCAGAAACATTATTCTAAAATCCACAATATTAACCCTGCACTACGCATGTGGGCAGTGTTTGGAACTTCTGAACACTCATGCATGCAAACTTTGTCAACACAGATAAGTAAGTGAGAGGCCAAGTATTCCTTAGGGACATATTTACTCATCAGAATGTGCTGCTTAAATTTTTTTAAAATCTTTTGTGCAGAGTGTGATTTTGTTACTGAGTGAACAAAAGGGAACAGTAGGAGCTCTCTTCATACTGTTGCAAGGTTACTTTGCGATACAAACTCGACAGCACAACAAAATGTAAGTATTTTATATATACTGTTATTTCACAGAAATTTTTACTTTTTTCTTTTAGATGTAAGTAGAACCTTGGTAATCTGAACTAATTGGAGGTGTGGTCTGTTCGTATTCAGAAATGTTTGAATTATTAGAAAAAATTAACCATACATATACAAATACATCTGTACGATTACCAGATAATGCAACACAGTATAGCGATCATATCATCATTGAAAGTTTCAGATCCTTACAGCAAAAGAAGATTATCAATTTTGCAAGTAGCTCTAAGTGAAAATTACAGCATATATAAACATATACACTGTAGTTATCAGTGTAAAAAACATTTCATTTCGGCAATTTGTGTTTCAATAATTAGTTGTTCAATTCTACAGTAATAATACAATCCTTTCTTTACACTAAAAATAAGCATTTTATTTATTTTGTTTATTTTTCCACCATCCCGAATTTTGTTCGAGTTATTTGAAATTTCTAATATTTGCGAGGTTCTTCTGTATTATATATTCATTATTATTGTCATGATCTTTATTGTTTTGCATGCCTTTATATTTCTGCATATCTCAAAGCAATCTGACAAATTTGGAGGATATTTAACATTCTTGAGAGAGTGAAGTTACCCAAACCATCTGCAACTGGAATGTATGTGAAGAACATTGTTAAAGCAGTGTTAAATGTGATTTATGTAGCAACCTTGACTCTCAGAATGAAGACTTAATATCTTGTGCTTTCTCATAAGATGTAATTTTCATATTTCAATAATTATTTTCAATGTTTCATGTCAGTTTTTCTGTTTTGTTTCGGTTATTTTTGAATAAAAATAAGTTATTTGATTATGTTTTGGAATTATTGAACCTGATAACACTTAGTTTTTACATATTTTGATGCTCCCTCAATAGTTTTAAGTACATTCTTTTTTCTGCTTAGTTTTAAATAGCAACAATTCCTACATTATTACTAGTGTTATTTAGAATTTTTTGGTAAAATCCGTTAGAAATCCTTAAAAACAATGCACAGTCCTAACTGCCACACGCACCGACATATCATGACAATTGTTGCACACAGGGCGAGGTTAATGTACAATTTTAAATTGAAAGGAAACTACACACTTTTTCTTTGAACCTGAATACTGTAATAGTAAAGTGAAATCCATTACCTTTAAAGGGCAATTTGAAAAATTTAGTACATATGCATTACTCAGATCACATTGATAACTACACAAAATTTTAAAGAAATGTCAACAGAAAAATATTAATTTATAATTATTTTCAATAATTGTAATACTACAAATTGATATCAGAATTGTGAAACATAATTGAATTTAATAAAACTAAACAAAAATATCATCATCACCATCATCTTATCTCTTTGACATTTCCCTGTGTTTTCCTGGAATATTGTCAGCACTTTGATTTCTCTGTTTTCCATTTGACCCCCTATTTTTCCACAAAACTAACATCACATGACTACAAAATTAATAATTTTGGGAAGCAGACAGAATTATATATCTTAATAAGAGCGTTAAAAAGATGTGAATATTCCAAACAGTCTTTTGAACTACATTTTCTTAATATTGAGGAATTGTGGTATACGAAAAGCAGTGAAAGCAGCATCTTGTGCGTCAGCTTTAATGATATTCTCCAAATATGGTTTCCATTATTAATTGCATTGCTGCACATTAATAATATTTTCTTAAGGATCACAAACTACAAATTGATTATTATGATTCTAAAATTCTTATTATAACACTAAAAATGACAAGACTATGTTCATTCAAATTTCTCAGTGTATGCTACACATTGACTGATAAATAAAATAATGGTTTTCAACATTTTAACTCTGCAAATGTTCAGTCATGAGTTGACTAAAACTTTTGAAAATCTTTTCAGTCAGGAAAGGTTGGCTAATAGCTCAATTCTAATTATACTCACTTTGATCTAAGTGCAATGGCAGCAGAAGAATGAACTGAGTCAGAAGGGCTGCTGGATCATGAAGCAGCAGAGGTACCTGCCGCTCCAGGGGTGCCAGTGCCAGAGGAGCACAGTCGGGCTCAGGGCCAGCACCTGCGACCTTCTGCCATGTCTGCCAGGCAGGCCACGTGGCAAGCAGCCGTGCATGCATCGCCAGAACGTGAAGAAGAGGAACTACAACATGAAGCTCACCATTTAAAATCTAGATCTACATTAAATTAATAGCTAAAGAGAGTGAAGGAGAACACATAGTTAAAATTCACTTTTTATAGTTTAAATCCACTCCACTAAAATTACACCAGTCATAACCAAGTTAAATGTTGATTAATGGTATTAAAGTATATTAGCAAAGTTGGGTAAGAAACTGGCCCTTATCACTTCGTCTAAATGACAAGGTTTCTTAACACTGGAGTTTGTCCTCTCATATCGCCCTGAACTTGTAATGGGATAGCTTATTTTTATAATAATTAAAATTAAAATTTAATTTTTTCCATCTTTTTCTTCTTTTCCAACTTTCTTTATTTCATTATTTCATTTCTTTATTTCATTCCCTTTCTCTACTTTCTAATTTCTTACTCATTTGATTTTCTTCATTTCTATCTCTTCCATGATAATTCCTCACACAAAAGAAGAGAGTATTTAAAATCTATCAAACACAGTGTTTTATCTTTAGAGGAGGCAAGTAATTTTGCATGCAAGAATATCTTTTTGAATACATCGCTTTTTAAATTCACCAAAAGGTTATTTTTTACAAATAAGTTGACATGACTTCAAAATGACAAATTTTGATCTGACATTTTTGGTGAAAATGATGCTTTGGCATGGTCAAACTCTCTATTGTCAGATGTATAATGTACTACAGCAGTTTTCAAATCAGACTTGTAGAAAAACTTTTCTTTTATAGAACTATGAATTCATCAACAAATATATGCCTAATACATAAATTAAAGAACAATGTTGCTTTCATACAAGCCGTAAATGTGTACATAGAGCATTAGAGTAAAAGTGTGCAAAGCAATAGCAATAAATAAATAAATAAATAAATAAATAAATAAATAAATAAATAAATAAATGCTACAAATCATTCAATTAATCAAATTATTAAATTATCACATTAAACTCATTAATAACTTGCATTAAAATAAAATTGAGGAAGTTCAATATCATTTCAAATAACGTATAGATTTGTGAATTTGGTAAAGCAAGATTATGATGAGTAATAAAAAAACAAGTTCCTCATTCGAATTCCCGGAGTAACAGTGCATTTGTCATGAACGTAATGACATAGAATTTTGCAAATCAATTTCAAAATGTTCCCCTGTAAAATTCTCTTGCAGTTGGAAAGAACTTTGACATTCTGAGACGAAGATATATCTGTGATAACTAAGTCTTTGAACGTATATTTAAATAAATATTATTTTGAAAACTCATGTTTATGAAATAATAAAGATTCAATATACATGAGATACAGTTATTTAAGTAACCGATGCATAAATGGTGTCTCTGGGATGTGATGCATTATTTATGGTTCTGTTTACAAGTCTTGGTGAAAGTGACCAACTGAGAGGATTAGTCTATGCATTCGGCGATGTGCACCTAAAAGTGTAAATGAATTGAGATTTAGAGTACAATTAATCCCTGAAAGCTTAGTGAAAAAAAATCATAATCAAATTGGGCTCTATTTTCTTTATAATTCTACAACAATACCTACATGCATTTTCAATTTGAAATGGTTACATGACATTTAGATTTCATCCTTGAATTGAATAGTGTTGGATCTTGTATGGTTTATGTATAAACAGCAAACCACGCAGAATTGTCAAAATTATGCTTGCAGTAAGTTTATTATTCATAATTTATTAAACATGTCTATCTGTATTTCCTGCGACAGACTGAGTACGGACCAGAGCCTACCAACAGCATCCCAGTCTCGCGGCCATAGGTTAAGGGGTACATGTGACCAGAGCTAAACCCCAAGGGTTCATTAAATATGTATATGCACAAATTCACACAAATAATATCTGAACAACAATGAATGTGATGACATGTCTAGCATTACAGAAGATATGAAACATGTTCTTTGTTCCAAGAAATGCAATACAAAAAACTTGGGGTCAAAATTTTCACATGCTAGGCTTCCAAGAGTCATTTCTTTATACTCGTATTTCTTCCTTTAGTTTTAAAATCCTGATTAACGATAAAATGTACACTCTGCTAGAAATTGATAAGCATTTCCTAGAAAATGCACTTAAGACAAATTTAGTTCTGAATCAGATATGAGAAAGAGAGGTCAACATGAACAATCAGCGATCTTTGCTGTGCAATGGCTCCTTATTCTTGTTCACAGAACTAAAGTGCAAAATATTATGGAATTTGTTTCTGAAACATTTTGTAATGTCTTAGTTCTTTAAGCAAAGGTACTTGATTCTCTTGTGTAAACATTTTTGGGGAGAAAATAAAGCCAGAAACTGTTGTTTGCACAAATTATTTTGAAAGTAGTGCAAAATTCATAGAATGATCCTCTTGCAAAATTTTACTCAGCCGAGGTGTGAAACCTTTTATAGAGGAGCAAGGACATTCGATTTTTGAGGTTTCGTAGTAGAGAGAGTAGGACATTCAAGATTTTATCTTCAAAATCTATTAATAAATTAAATATATATTTTTGAAAAAAGTGTAACTATGGTTTTTAAGTTATATATTCATTTATTTATTAAATAAATACAGTTTACTCCAGTTACAATGAATGTCTGGGAACTAACATTTTTGGTTCAATATATCCGATGATATCAATATTAAAGAGAATTTCTCCACAGTGATTATTTTTATTAAAAGAAAGATAAAGCAAAATAAATTAATAGCATGAACTGCAAATATCAATATCTTTATTTGACCTCCAAAAATTAATTACTTCCTTCTTTCCTACATTCCAGCATTCCTTCATACATTTTTCATTAGTAATTTCTCTCGATCCTTCTCCAAAGTTCGTGCTCTCTCCATTTGATCTGCATTGTCTCAAAATATCATTATTCAGTCTTGATGTGCTTTAATACCTCTTGTACTGTTGGAACACCTTTATTTGTATCGCCTACATTAAGGAAGATCCCCATTCAATATTCGGTATCTCCAACACAGGGAATACTTTTTCAGTGATCTTTGGCTGACGATATTTTTTCTAAGCTGTCTAGTGTTGGGACTTGTGGCACTCAGGTGAGTTAGAACTGAATCTTGTAATGCTAATGTGTAATGTAAGAGAAACAGGCAAGAGACATAAGTTTACTATAATGGGAGTCGACTGTATCTTCAAAAAAATGTTATATTAAGTTATCATAAAAGTCAGAGATTTTCATTGCCTTGCTCATGTTTTCCTTAATTTGCTATACATGTGTGCTGGGCTTTTTGAGGCCCTATTTATCTTAACTCTAATGTCTGCCACTTGATGCATTAGTGGGTTAATGTGCTGGCAAAACAGGTGATAATAATTTTAATAAGAAATTCTGTGTGAGCTGATTTACTGAAGTTTGAAGAAAATAAATTGAAGAACGAAACTCACCAATGCAGGAGCGTTTGGGAGTAAGGAGCGCAGAAGCCTCTGCACCGGGACTACCACTGCCAGGTAATGCTCCACTTCCCTCTGAGGCAGTGCTAGCTGCTTGGCACAGAGAGCCTCCTCGCTGCACCAGCTCCACTTCCAAGTTGGTGCGAGCAATTGAGCTCACGAACAGGAACAAGCTTTGGGATGTGGGAGATGCAGATTTCTGCTTAAATTTGTGATACGTACTATTTGTCATATCTTCCATGGATTTTGCCATTGCTTCCACGAGACTGGAGGACATAGGAGTAGGAGGGTTTTCTTTCAAGAAGTTACACACCTCGGTAACAATAGAAGGAAGGCCTGTAAAAAAAAATTCCATAAAAAAACTTTCATAACATATTTCTTCATATACTCTGAACATCAACAGATACAGTTATATCGGTTAATAATAATAATAATAATAATAATAATAATAACAATAATAAATTATAACATTAAATAGCACTCAGTTATCTGAACAAAAGAAAAGTCACATGCTGAGCATTTGAGTGTTATCCCTCAAATTGACCATATTTTGCATGTTTGATTCAAATAATTTTTCTTCCACACAGATCCATCTTTTTGTGAGTGATCTGATAACGAACAGAATACTTAATAATGTTTTGTGATTTGTATAAGAAAAATTTTAATTTTTCACTGATGGCTTATATATGGTATTTCTGACTTGCATCTCATTAAGCATTTATAACGCAAGTTACCATAATGTTTAACTGATTGTTGTTGAATTACTCTCATTAAGTGTCAGTGTTATTTGGGTTGTAGAAACAAGTGGACAATGACAGAATGATGGATGCAAAAAAATTAATTACCTTGATTTTCCACTTTGATTATTATAAATTTAAAAGCTTTAAAACTATCAAGAAAAAAATTCCTTGTACATGTTGATTCTACATTCTAATATCAATAAAAGTAACAATTTATTACTAGAAGATAGGCAATTGTTTTCAAGTGCTACAAATGAGAGAACATGTTCAGACATAATATATTTTTTGAATACAAATTGTAATGTGACGAGAATTAGTCATTATACACATAGAAATCTTCAAGACTGTAAAGCACTAACCTGCAAGAATATAAAACACTAAATTTGAAAAGAAAGAGAAATCAGCATTTTAAACTCATAAAAACTATTGAATACCAGCAGGTCGTGACCGCACAACAGCAGCACATTCTCCAAGTTGAGGAGACAATGGCAGCACCGAGTTGGCAAGTTGACGGCATAGTGGACACCAATATTCGCCACGATCAACAGCAATGCTCTGTTGACGCTGTTGAGATCGTAACGACTGCAGGTACGAACGCAAACAGTCCAAGTGAAGATGATGGCCACATGTTTGTACATGAACACCACCCTCCCAACCAAGATTCACAGATAACTGCCAAGAGAACTGAAAACCAAAAATAAAATAAAATAAAAAATAATGATATTCTGATGATTATGATTTACATATTCCGATTATTAACATAACATGTTGATTTTGAGATTAGTTACAATATTCCTCAAAGGAAAACGAGAAATCCTTACCTGCTTCCCATTAAAAGTCATAGAATTAATTGTGTGAAATTGTATGATGAATGACAAATAAGAAATAGTTTCATATTGGTTAGCATACAGGCCTACTCCTCTGAGAATGGTACTTACAATATTGTAAAAACGCCTTTGTATTATATTTTACTATCTGAATAAATTAAATTGAATTGAATTATGACTCTAAGGGCATATTTAAAAGATTCTCAAATTGTGCTCACCAATTGAGCAATGAAGATATCTTGTTCATCCCTGTCAAATCAATCTTCAGAAGACATCTTGAAATTGCTATACATGGTGTCTGTTAGAGCTTTTAAAGCTCATTGTATTAGATTTATAAAATCTGTGATACTTCTTATTGATAAATATTTTAGTCAATTCTCTGATTATAAATAAATTAATTTCCACACCAATAAAAATGCTCCTTCATTACAGTACTATAAACATTACTTACGCTGTCGAACTGCATGTTAAGCTCCTCAACACGCCGGTCAAATTCACTAGCCAAACTATCATCTCTTCTTAAATTTCCCCTCTCTTCATCACTTGTAGGTAAGGGAGCTCTGTCCATACTTCGTCTCTTGTGACCCAGAACACTTGTTGCCTGCAACAGAGCACTCTAGGTCAAGTACATATATCCCTACCAAAACTACCCTACACCAGTATTAAATAAGAAATACGAACCTGTACTAGCACCACTAATCCCATAGGTTTATCTTCAGTACTAGGGGTTGTCTGACTACATATGACACAGTCATAGTCTCGTTTACTGGCCAGTAGAGTAGCACCTTCCTCTTCACGCCAGTCCATTCCCGACAAAGCCTCCTCATCTATAATATATATATATAAAAAAAAAAATGAACACTCAGGTGATCACACATGTATCAAGTGAATATTCTGCAGAACAGTAATGAAAAAGGACATGAAATAGTGTTTCACAAGTAAAAATGAATGAAAATTAATAAAACGGTTATCAAGAGGGTAATAAAAATTAGACAAAAAAAGAAGGAAATGAAAGAACAGCAGGGGGGGGGGTACAAATTTATCACATTATCACATAGGGGAGCGGGAGGAGCACAGACATCCCAACATGAAGCTACAGGGTATTACTGCAATTTTATACTACATAATAATTTGCTAATACAAACATTGTTAATCTTGTGTTATTTCTAAAAGTTGTAGTAGTATTCTGAATAAATAAAATAGGGATGAAGTCCTGATAGATAAACACTCAACATGTTTACTTTTCAAATCATTGAAGTCAACAAACTTCACATTCCAGCTCAAACCAAAAAATTGCCAAGCAGTTTCTTCAAATCCAACAATTGCCAAATTTTAATGTGACCCTAATGTCGTTTACTGTAATAATGTTAAGAGGAAATGTGAATGAACTCATTCAAACAACCATTGAAACAAGTAATAAATTGTTACATTCTAAGATAACCGTGAACTGTTGAGTTTCTTTTGCGGTGAAAACAATAAAGAAAAATTTAAATGACATCAAATACACAGAACTCATTACCTAAGTTACCCTTCCAATGTGTGAGAGACCATCTTCTCACAAAGACACTACCCATTCTCCTGCTTTACTCCATGTGTCCCAACACTAAGCATTTGAGTTGAAGAATTATTCCAAGAATTATTATATCCACAAGATTCCATATAAAAAATAAATCAATACTTCAATTTTTTAATTGTTTATTTATAGTGGGTTTTGACAGAAAAAGTGAGGAAAATAAGTGTAGCATGAAATTAATTTTAAAAAAGAAGAGTCGCTGAGAGGTCTAAAGGAGCAAACAGGGCAATGAGGAGAGAGGAGAGAGGAGAGAAGGATGGGTCGGGACGGCAGCAGGGGAGGACGAGCCGAGGAGGACTGACCGGTCTCCATGGCGCGCTCCATGAACTCCTTCTGCTTGGAGGCGAACTCTGCCATGAGCTTTTGCTGACGCTCTTTGGCGCGTCGGCGGCGTTCCTCGCGCTCGCGGGCCTCTCGCTCGCGCGCCTCCTCCTCGCCCTCCTCGGGCTTGCGCGGCCACAGGCGGTCGCGTGCCTCGCGGATGGCTTCGCGGCAGAAGGCGTCCAGCGCCGACACGCGGTGCAGCAGCTTGCCCAGGAAAAAGGGCCCGTCGCCTACGCGGCTCTCCGCCGCCTCCGCCGCCGCTTCCGCCGTCGCCGCCGCCTCGGCCTCGTCCGGGTTGAACGAGTCGGGCGTACCGGCCAGGTGTGAGTGCAGCTTCAGCAGCAGAGAGATTATGCTCTCGTTCACCTCGAGCGCGTCGGGGCTGCCCGAGCTGCCAGGCTGTGGAACAGAGAGCGCCGTCATGCGGCTCAGCGCCGGCGCGCCGCCGTACGCCACCAGCGCGCGCGAAGCGTCGGCTACAGTGATATGCGGGGGCACACGTGAGGGAGGGCCCAAGGCGAACGCCCGCCTCTGAAATCCCAAACGATGATCAATGCCGGACGACAACCGATCAAAGAGTTTCAACTTGAAATGACTACCAGGGATGATTACACGCATTTGTTTTATGATGCCTTTGGTAAGAGGCAGCTTCACACATGCGGCATTCGGCGAATGGTGTGAACGGGTTGCTTGTGATTCGTCGAGGGCCGAACATCCGGTATTCGCCCTACTCATCGCGTGTCTGTCTTTTGGACACATCAAAAGGAGCGAACATTCCTCGAATACATCAACTGTTCGGGATTGGGCGAGCAGTAGAGCTCGCTGATCGGCAAATGCCGAATGTTTGGAGTCGCCTTTGAATTAATAGCGACTTCTAGGCCAGAGATTAAAAATACGTTACAAGTAGATAGCATGTGCACTAAACACCGTTTGGGATCCTGCAGATTTGTTATGATTCTTGTGAAGTATATACCAATCCGTTTTTCTTGGTCTTTCAGATATTAGTGATTCGAAGGAGCAAAGTGACTGCACATGGAAGTGAGTTCACAACTACACAAACCACGAAAATCGAATCGTTTCACTGAAGAAAGAAATTAGTGTTGGAATAAATTTAAAAATGAGACTCGACGGAGCGTTGGAGAACTCACCATGACCTGTTTCCGCTTGCGCAGCGCGGGCTTGCGGCCGGCAGACGTGGAGGGCAGGACGTCAGCGCGGCGCGCGCGCGCCAGGCGCGGGTAGGGCGTGGCGACGGGTACCACGTCCGTGCTAGTGGACTGGCCCGACGGCCCCGCCCACGCGATGCTGGCCTGCGCGCCGCTGGGGCCCGCGCGCACGGGCGTGCGCACGTGCGGGGGTGGTGCCGCCGCGCCGGCACCCGCGGGCACCATCTCGGTGCCCGTGGGGTGGGGCAGCGGCGGCGAAGAGGCAGAGGCGGTGCCGGGGCGCGAGGGGCCTCCATCGCCCGCTGTCAGCGATGGCGCGGGCGGCGGAGGCGTGGACGGCGGCTGCGCACCCACCGCCACCATCTCCCCCCACACCGCCACCACGTCGTTGCCCTCTGACGACGACGCCGCCGCCAGCGCAGAAGGCGGGGGGCTGGGCGACGGCGACTCCATGGGCACCATCTCCGTCCCCGGAACTAGCGCCACGGCGTCTGCAACACACGAGCGCTCTCCGTCACTTCACACTAGGGAATGTTACGAAACATAGACATGATTCTCTGCCACAGACTTCATTTTCTGCAACTTATTTACTTACTTGATGGAAAATTACAGTAATTAGTTCAGAAACAAACGAAAAATTGAAAACATTCCCCTAAAGCAAAAATAAGAATACATTTTATGGCAAAAAAAATAAAACTTTTCAGATTCCTTTATGAGTCCACTGAAGACATCAGCGAGCGAAGGAGAAGATATCAGCAGGGGCACTCACCGCCGACGCCTCGCGAGGAGCCGCTCTCGTCGCTGGCCCCGGCGCCCGCGCCGAGCTCCAGCATGAGGACGGGGCCGCTACTCGCCGCCTCCCCGAGGTCCGCGCCTTCCCACTCGATCTCACCTGCGGCACCCACCAATGGCCATCTCAGCCTTCTCATTCTCCAAGCAAACGAAATGCTCAAACGAACAATCAATCCTTATCAACTCTATGACTGGTCTCGAAGGACGAATACAGTACACACTCCATCCGGCAGATTTATCAATCGAAGTGAGTTACACTTGATCGAATTTTGCGAATGGGATCTCTCTGGGCTCGATGGCGTGATTTCGTGTTTCATCCCCTTCAAGAAGTCAATAGAACCAGGGTAGTGAATAAAACTACTTTCTTTTTTTTTAGAGCGTTATTTTTATTACTTTCCTACCATTAGGTAAATGAAGACCCACTATTTTACTGTTTTAACGACAGACGAGGTGAGTTTGTGGAGCTGATTCATTTTCAGACTGCCACCCGACGTTACAAATGGTCCCACGGCGTACGCTCAGTCATATATTGGCTCGCTATGTGACTAAATGCATCATTTAATCCTTTCACACCCATTCTGCACAAATGAGTTCCTAAATATTTTGCTTTATATAATTTGTTTTAATTTTCGAAAAGTGTTGGAAATTACATCAGAGAATTCTTTTCAATTTTTCTTTCAAACTTTTCATGTCATTTCGTAAATACACGTTAAATATGATAATTAATCTTGGGACTAATTATGTAAAAACTACCTGCTTTCCGCATGTTTTCGTTAAAATATCCGCCAAAATTATATACGAAACTTCGAGGGTAAATAAAACAAGGATATTCGAAAGAACAGGAAAACATCAGTACTGCTACCAAGATACTTATTGCATTGGGATTAGTCTTTCAACAGTTTGAACTTTGAAATTTGTCTTTTAGAGACAGCCAGTTTATCTTATGTCGTAAGCATGACCGCACTATGGGGCTCGTAATAATACTGAAATACTGAACAAGCAAAGTGAAATAAACCATAGCGTTTACAACTTTAAAAGTAGTACATTTCCTTTAAGAATAATTTGAGAGGCCGCAAACCAGCAGGGGCCTTGACCTCGAGCTCATTCTGCCTAGATATTAATACAAGCTTGCTCTCAGACGTATTAATAACAGAAGATTGTTTTCCAACTCTCTTTGCCTCATCAACAGGTCTACGCCGGCGCAAGCAGAGCGGCGTCGGCTGGTGGGTGCTCGTGTACTTCGAGGCGGCCGAGGCCGCGAGCTTCCGAGCACTTAACGCTAATGTGGAGCCGCGTGCGGCGGAATTAGACTATACGAACTCAAATGCCAGAGGTCGGCGGCGTCCGAACCCGCGCCACGACGCTCGGGTGACGGGGAACGCGCAACGGCCCTGCCCTGCCGTGCCCTGTCTAGCCCGATCCGACGCGACACTATCGTGCTTAGCCCAACCACACCGATGAGACGCTACGCGAGATTTGTACATATGCAGAGGCGCAACCAGGGTTTTTTCATGAGGGGAGACCATACATGTATTGTTTATGTTTTCTTACAAAGAATTTTTTATTTATACTGAATTTAGTTGTTTTTTGTTTGTTTTTTTCATTTATAGTGTGTGTGGGGAGAGGGGGCTGATTCTCTGTTCCCCTAACTCCCTTGGGTGCACCACAGCATGAGAAACACTTTCTTAAATTGCAGTGGTTGTCATCTAGTAAATAATGGTCATCTGTAAGTACTTATCAATGGTTCTCACAATCATATTGTTGTTGATTGGTAGGCTAGCAATTTGTTAAAAAGGTTCGTAAGTTTCCCTGTCGTTCTTGAACTGAAACTATTGAAATCCTGACAAAACACATAAGCAAAACTCTGCCACATTTGTAATGACATCATAGATCGCTCATTCACACACATGGAGTATTAAAACTAACTTGTCACAACCAAGTAAACAAATGTTGCTCCAATTACTTCAAGATAAAATATCAAGAAGTAGCACGTGAAAATTGTGGTAGCCCCCGAATCGAGCAATGTGAAGGAAAAAATAATTTGTTGACTGTTCTAAAACAATATTGATTGTTACTGATTGAAATATTGTCAGTAATAGATAAGAAACTTAATCATTAACTTGACGTCAGACCACTTCCACTTAATACCTGATTCTTATAACTTGTTTCCATGATCTGAAGAATATCAAATACCAGCAATGACATCAATCACATGGATTGGATTATCTATACTCATAACTAATTCTCAAGGATATCTTAAGTAGTACTCCACCATTACCTTCCGGTTTCCTCGAAGAGTTCATCAAACTCACTTTGTTGACGTATGGCTTCAAGATTTAAAACACCAACAAGGGGAAGACATACGTACTGTCCGAGCTGTCGAAGACCACAGCAGGCTTGGGCTCGATCCGCACTCGGTGGATGACCTTCCTCAAGTTGCTAGACAGCCAATCGGAAGAGTAGAAGGAGCTCAGGTCCTTGTCCGTCACTTCCGTCTCTTCCGAGTGGGATGCCTGGCACACCTGCAAGCGGAACCACACTTTCAATCCCCCGCGCGAAAGAGTCGAGGGGCGAGGCCTCTAAAACGATCGCTAAGTTTCTCTCTCGCAGCTCGCTGTTCTCATGACATGATCCGTGATTCATCGCCGAATGCGTCATGGCTCAATATGAGGACGACGATTGTTAACGTCGTGGGAGTACTCTTTCTTTCAGAAATAATTGCTACACATGTCACGTAGGACTCAAATGACTGAAATACAGCGGGACATTCCGTTCACACGGTATGTTCGAAGTTTTTCACAGCATACTCATTCTACTAAATTTATAATGAATATGTTACATAATAAGACGTGTTTGATAAGTCTCTTTTAACTGTGATCTGAAAAGAATGCAGACAAAGCTCCGATGGTTACAAAATTACAAAAACAATTTTTTCTTACGATATACAAAATATTTGACTCTCAAAACTTAGATTAGATGTGCAATATCATTGCATGTTATGTTCCACAATACGTGATACGTTGCACGTTAGTTTCTCGCCTGAAGCAGACCAAGATGGAGCTTTTACCGCCATCAAAGCCTCTCCGATCCATAGGAATTATTTATTTTAAGTCCTAAGTCGGCAACCCATGAATGTATATATTACTTAATAATAGTTAACTACGAAAGATCTACTAAGAGGCAAAAAAAGTGGGCCATTCGTCATTTGCATGCCTTTATTAATATCGAAAGATAATTTTATTTAAAGTAGCATACATAATATTTTTGTGAACTTTCTTAACTCAATGTACACATTATGCCAACTATTTTAAATCTACTTATCATTCGCTGTGGAACATGTGGCATCCAAAATGTAAAGGAGTACGGGTTTTCTTTAAATGCGGGAAAATACGTCCTATGCCTTAAAATAAGGGCAAATGTGAAACAATCAAATAAGTTCCAAATCACTTCAAAGAGCCCAATCAGTAAATATATAACAAAAGCTTAATCGTAACTAATGAGGCAAAAAATATGTAATTAAAAGAGATCGTAGCCCTGATGAGAACCAAGAAAATACTTCTACATTTTTGTTATTTTATGAGTCGGTAGCAGATCATATTACACACTCTTTCAGTTATCCTTTTTTTTTTCTCACTGCCCTTGCAAAAGACCGCGTAACTCACCTGGGACTGCGGGTCGAGCGGCTCGGCGGACGCAACGGCCATCTCCAGCAGGTAGACGGTGAGGGCCATGACGTGCTCGGAGACGCTCTGGCCGTGGACGGCGCGGTGCAGGACGACGAAGGCGGCGGCGTGGAAGACGCGCGAGCGCAGCAGCTTCTGCGGGTCCTCGTATGCCGGGTGGCAGGGCGCGGGCGGGCGGAAGGGCGGCCACGGCGCCCCGCTGCCGCGGAACTTGCCCGCCTGCTGCACGCTGCGCACGCGACAGGCCCGCGCGTTAGGGCTCGTTCGTTACGGAAAAGCCTAGTGCCGTGGTTACGCGGTGGAAACATCCTCAACGCTCAACGTGAACGTACTTCGTAAAAGATCGCTAATCCCATGCGTATACGTTTACCGTTGCCGTGGTGCTAGCGTAGGTTTGCTAGCACCAGATTTACATAAAGCAATATGGAACTGGTCCAGAACGTAAAATTTGCATAAGGATGAAAAGTTTACCAAATATACTAACCATTCACTATAAGTAACTGCTGTACGAGTATTAGGATGTTATTTTTTTAAGTTAGTTAAATTACCTTTCAGTTGGAAGCTAATGCTCATTACAACATGAGCAAATCTTTCTACTTAAAACCAATTTTTAAAACTGGAAGTACGAAGGTATGATGAGTGGAGCGCGAAGAGCCCGACAACAAAGCACTGGTGAATAACTCAAAACGAAAACAGTCGACAAATCTGTTTTTTTTATATTACTACTTTAGCAATAGTATTCAATGCTTTTTAATACTAACGCAAAATAAACATGCGTTTCGGCATAGATCCACTATGAAATCTGTAAATTGCGGTCGGCGTTTACTAGTCCACCGAGAGGATTGTGGCTTACGCTGGTCACCGCCTCATAAGCGTGAACAGTTCTCACAGAACTTCCAGTTTTAACAGCCCCTGGCACAAATGGAATAATTCACTAATTGTGTGCTAAGTAGACGATCGTAAAGTTAAATCAAGTTGGAAAAGTGGGGGAATTTTAGCAATGGTTTTGCTGCCGACCTAGTTGTTCTGCGAATAACCTTTTCACGATTGTGTTGGTGCTAGCGAGCAGGGCGAGGGCGGAAAAAGAGCGGAGAAGGCCGGGGGGGGGGGGGGACGGGCGCGATAACGCACTACTTCCGTGAAGCGGTCCATGGACGTTTGGAAGTCGCGCCGGTGAACCGCTCGCAACAGCACGTGGATGGGGTCGTACAGCTTCTCCCACACCTGCGGGCGCGGCACGTACATTCCCTGCTGCATGTTGCCACTCGCCTCCAAGTTGGGCGCACGGTAGTCCGCTACCTGCGCAACAGCAGACAACCCCTTTCCTTACACCACCTCGTCCGTACAACTCTTGCATGGTTTTCGGAGAAGAGGAGGAAAAAGGATGAGCTGAAGACACTTCTACAACTGAATAGTACTGACTACAATTAAAAGGAATGGAAAAAGTAATGACAATTCCACTTCAACTGAAACAACATCCACTACGCAAACGTCCAGAAAGTTTGATTCACAATCGAAATCGCTGTTCTTAAACGTTATCCTTTCTTCCGTATTGGAAGATTCGTCTATGTAAATAAACATAGGCAACATTAAATTATTATTAAAAGCGTAATTTAAACAAATTAAACAGGCTGAATAGTCATGCAATTAAATCGCCATGCATTAATACTATTCTTCTCCCACAAAAATAGCATACTGAAGTACGAGTAAAAGGAAAGTATTTTCAAACGTTCATCCACATTCTTAGAAGATAACATTTATAGTATGAGCACACACCACTAGCAAGTTAGCAGGCACCTACAACACTAACAACAATTTTAATATAATTACAACATTGTTACTGAATATTTAAAAAAATAGGAATAAAGTATAAAATAACAGATTACATCTGGATCGTATACTCTCAAAAAGCAATACTAGAGCGGTAAGAACATTTACAATTGGCAGATAAACGCTTTTATTCAAAACATCAACTTCAGCTAACAAAGCTTCAGCTAATAAAATAATGTGGTTGCAAAAGGTTTGTTGTTTTTACTATCTTGCCTTAAAAGGTACGAACGTAGTGAGAAAGTATTGTAATGCAGCGGCATAATACAGCGATGTTTCGATTGAAACTGTTACTGTGAGGGCCCAGTGTCGAAAAAGTGGGTAAATCTTGATCCTGTAAGCCTTTCTCTAGCACGTTGTGTAATAAGAATCCGTGTTTTGAGCGTCCTTGATGAAAAATCGATTGTCGGCAAAACGCGTTTGTTCGTCAGTCCGTGGTCAACGCTAGTGCCTAAACTTTTCATAAGATTTTTACCCAAAATTGATATTCCCCGATCGCTTTGAACGCACACTATGCCCTAAGAATTTGAAACGATTACTTTGAGGGTTTTTTTGGGGTACATTCTCTAAAGAATCAACATTTTCAAACAGTACTTATAAGTGGATCCAAATTTTTGGATTAATGCATTTTCCTCGGATGACATAAAGGCCGTTTAAATTGGCGTAGGTCTCATTTTTGTTGAAATTCTGCATTTTCGAAAATTTAAAAGTTTTTTGCAATCTTCTTACAACTACCTAATTAAAAATAGAGATTATTTTCCATAATGAAATATGTTCTTCAAAGGTCTTGATGTATGTTCATGCACAATGTTTTGAATATATGAGTAGGTTTCGTGTAATTTTGTGTAAAATATAACCAATTTTTAAAAATATATATTTTATCAAAAAACTGCTCCAATTTTTTCTTTAATTTTCTCCCCAGGGGAGAGCAAATGCCGCAGGTCCTGTTTTCAACAATCTCTCTGTATTTTCGAAAATTGTAAACAAACAATTTAGCAGTTAACATTGCTTAAATACGATTACTGCTAGAATGTTTTTCCTTAATAAAACCTCTTCATTAAAACTAGATCTTCAAATAATCTAAATGAAAATCTCTGATTTTTTCAAAATTGCAAATGCAAATGATCAACTTTTTTAAGCGTCGAGAAGATTGAGTTTAGTCGTGCGGATGGTCGAAGGGCCAGAGTTCGAATCTCGGCGCGGGGGAAAAAATGAAAACATTTTTTCAGGTTCATTTAGTATTATAATGCAGAGTACAAACAATCCGAGAAAGTATGTGTTGTTGTGGCTGAACTAGTTTCCACAGAAATCGCATACTCTATTCTGTTTCACGCATGCATGATTTCATTTCCGGGAAGCGATACACAAGGATGACGCAATGTCATTTCTCTGATAAAGATGAAGAAAACGAATTCACGATTGAAATTTCATACTTCACACAAAGTATGTATTTTCTTAAAAGCTTCTTTACAGCAAAGTTAAATACTTCGCACACTGAACTCTAAAAAATGTCTGCTTTTAGTACGACAAATAACTACTTGTGCGCATATTGGTGAACCTTAGAGGTTACGTTCGTTAGAATTTGATTTCTTAGATCAATTTACGATTTTCTGATATTGCCAGAAGCATGTCCAAAAATAGATATAAACAAGTTGAACACTACTGTTCAAATGTATTGTCTCCAAAACATAAATCTTTAATACTTAACTTAATATTTCAATTTTTATATTTCCATGATTTTCGAAACATATTCTCGAAACCCGAACACGGAAACTTTAGAGAAATAAGTCCACTAGTTGGTGTTGCCTGTTATTCATAATATGTTACATTTTCCTACGACTTAAATTAAATTCCGATAAAGTGTGAAAGCTAGAGTATTATAAACGAATGTGTTAGTCACATCCGCTAGACATTCACAATCTATTTGCACCCAAAACATATGTTCGAAATAAACGAGATCAGGCGATGGCAATGGGCAAAATATGCATGAGATACCGGCTCGGCCTAAATAATCATTCCAGCGTTTCAAGATAAAACGTAATGACTAGAATGTTTATAAAAATATTCTCTCTCTTACTGAAATAAGAAAAAATAAAAATGAGAAAATGAGCAAAAAAATATTTATGGTATTTTCAGTCTTAGTGTAATAATGTGATGAGTTACTATCTTGTGAAGACGTATCTGCCTTTATCTGTACATAAATAAAAGGGAATGCGCGTATATGTGACGCATATAGAGGCATAAACGACTCAACCGATTTTGGTGAAATGTTCATGCTTTGTTAGTATTAGTAATGGGAGTGTTTAAAGAGTAGTTTGAATGAAATCGGACATGTGGGGGCGTTGATGATTTATTCGTTTAAGACGACTCAAGTGCCCCTGATCTCTACACAACCCGTTGCACAGTCAAGGAATATTCAGCCCCTGTGATTATGAAATATCGGCCAGAATTATTACATGAATCTCGAACAAGTAAAGCAAATTTTTCCAACAGTGTTATAATGAACGCATATTCGAATTTGAAGGAGAACGTTTTAACAACATGATACTTGACAACCAGGACCAAAAGAACGAGTGAATTTGATTTGCGTAGCATCAGTGGTGGGTGCAGAATGGTGGGGTGGGGAACCTTTTTTTTTTGTAGGTTAGATCGTCCAGTTTCAGTAGCAAATGGCGTAGTGGTCTATGCGTCTTCCCGGTTTTTGTCTTTAACAAAATATATTCTTTAAAAATAACATGTATTCAAAATAACATAATCATAACATTACTTCAAAAGTTATGACTCTGTTATTACAATTCAACGGCTTTCCCGCACACACTGCAAAGTTCCTCGAAATTGTTCGATACCTGATCCCAACACAATATTGCGCGGGGTTGTCCTCGCACGGTGTGAACACCGGAAAATGTCAACAGATTACGAGCGTATGTTCTTCAAAGTCCACGCCACTCCACTGGGCGGCGTGCTTAAAGTCTAGGGTTGTCTAGTCGCTCGCTGCAACCCATCCTTAAGTTACAATTTCCCCTTTACAACATTATGATCGTGTCGAAGATTTACGAACGTGATTATAATGAACGGAGATTGTTTTATGAGAAAATGCTTGAATGCGCGACAATTTATAAATTGGATATGCAACCAATTGTAGCGATGTATTTTGTATGTGATCAATGTAAAGCCAATTATACTATTTTGAAGCCCATGAGTTCGTTTCGCTCCATCCTGTTATTAATTATATCAATTTATTAAAATAGTCAATACCGTCAATTGAATAAAAAATAAGCGTGGCGCCTGAGGTCCTCCATGGTAAGGGGGAATAACAACGTATACCTTGGTAATGATAGGGTTTTAAACAAGGTTTAATAGGTATAACAACACTGCTACGATCGAGACGTGGCATCTATCGTAAAAGCAGACCAATTGCACGTCTGAGGTGAAAGATAATGTCAGAGGTCAAGGTTCCCTGGAGAGAAAAAGTGGAGGGAACGCAGCGTCAGGGAAGAAGTGGGGCACGTAACAGGAGCTGTCCGAGCGTAACGGCTTTCGTTGAGTCACCTGCGCGGCGCGGCGCTGCCGGGAAAAGACTTCGATCAGCCTCCGACACCCACTCGCGGAACAGCGCTCTACTGCAGGCGAAGGATGGTTGAGGCGGCAGGTAATCTGAGATGGGTTAAAATATGCAGACCAAGCACGTGCTTATGTCTCCCGCGGGAAAGCCCCCCCCCCCTGACATATGTCTAAACAAAATAATTTAATAGTTCGTAAATATTATATTTGGAATAAAGTTTTAAAACTGCGGTTGTAGTTTACTTTCACGTCCATATTGGTTACCTCTGTTTATATATATATATATATATATATATATATATATATATATATAATATATATATAATATATATATATATATATATAATTTATATTAATATTTTTAGAGGTCCCCATAGTTTGGTTATACTTAGCGCACCAAGACAATCCGATCCTGTAGGTAATTCGTAGACCTCACCTCAAAATCTCATGCTTTCTACGAACAAGAATGTATACGTTCTTTTTCACTTTCTTTCAATGGAAGAGAATTCGTTTATCGCTACCGGACGATTAAATGGCATTGCTCCTAAAATAGATCTAATATATTAATAGTATTTACTAGAACTAGGGGAGACAGCAGTTTAAGACGTTTTTAGGAATTGTTTTTGAATGAAAGAAAAAAACGCTACCAGGCGTATAACTGCATAATTTTCTCCTACCTATTCATTTCTAAAAGGATCAAAAAGCATCAACAGCTCCGCAAATATATTGAATTGCAAGTATTACATACATCGTTCACGATTTTGTTAATCAATCCTCAACGGGATGTGACACCATAGGCGTGAAATGAAAATTTAGTACATACCATACTGTCATCAGGATTGCGTCACTAGTTACCAACGCGTTGTTACATAATAAAAGTATTTTGATGTTAACAAAGCAATGACGACTAGAGCAAATAAACTGTGCTAATGGGGTTGATCTGGAAGAAAAAATGTACAAACGGATTAATTATGTTGAATGAAATTGCGATTAAATTATAACATCAATTACATGTTTTTATTTTACATAAATTAGTACGCAGACTTCTTATACGCCTATGAATCGGAACATTTCACCCGCTTCTATAAACAAGATGGAATTTCTTAACCGAAGCCAGCACGAAAGATCGCTGGCAGAATTTAATCGAACATAACATCTTGTCGTCCAACTGCGCCGAATGACTTGCTAATGAATGCATCACTGACAGCGTCAAATCTTATCAACGCCAAGAAAAAACTATCGTAGCATCTTAACCTTCAATAGCCCTCTGCTGACGGATTGTTAGTGTGTATGTCACCTAAGAAATATGAAAAAGAGTGTGATCGATAATACTGGTAAACAGATACCTTTTTGTCTGGGAAGGTCACGGCCGAAACGTTGGCAACTGTATCTAGGACGCAACATCTCCCGGCAGCCATTAACTCCGGACGCGGAAGACTAGGCTTTCACTGGTAAAAAAGCATTTTTGTCGCAAAGAAAGTGAATGAAGTTCTAAGCTTATTTCGAAAATGAATTACGTGTTTGCTTTTCGGAATGTTTCCGTGGCACACGCAATCCCTATGTATCGCAACAATCGAAAACGCTGCATATTGGTTATAGCCCTATGGCTTAATTTATGCAGATGTAATTGCACCTGCAAAGTAGTTAGCACTGTAGAAGCTCTACAAACCATAATGGTAATAGCACTGTATAGAATATAATACGTCACCTACACTACATGTCTTGAACGATTACTTGGATTTCTTCCTGGATCATCTGTGCCGAAAATGGACTCGGTGAACTATCCCCCCAGGATATTCATCAAATGGGGAAAAAAATCTTATGAAGACCGCAGTGTTGTCCAAATAATGCTCGACCTTATGAAAATACGTTCTTGACACAAAGTATTGCAGGAAATATCTTTTAAGAATGTTCCTACATTTTTCTTTACTTTTATGTTGATTTTTTTGTGCTTTACATTTCGGCCACTTGTTGCGAGCGTGTCGTGTGGTCGGATATATAACAGATACGGAGACGTACGGGTTTGCAAAATTTATTCCTTTGGAAACTGTGGCCAACATAAAAATTTTAAAATTAGATTGGGATCCACGGGCGAATTGTCTTCCTGAAAGGGCCAGTTTTGTCCCAGTAGGAGAAAAAAGTATTTTAGAGCACCTGGCGATGGTCTTACCTCCGCGAGCACAGCCTCGAAGTCGCGGCTCTGCGCCGTGCTGCAGCGCTCGGGCATGAGCTCGATGAGCTGGCTGTGCGTCTTGTCTCCCATGCACAGCAGCGTGACCAGCTCCAGCTGCGACAGCGGCGCCTCGCTCACACCTGCGGGTGACACAGGCGGAGCGTCAATGCGCACGCTGGACACCATTCATCAACACACAACACGTTCCGCACGTCTATGCCCAGGAAGAAGGGGCGTTGTTTTTTGCTTCTTCCCACCCTCAAGAAGTTACGACTTTTGAACCAAACAACTTGTTCTGGTGATCGAAGAGCCCATTTAGTTCCAGCGTGGAGTGATACGGACGGTAAACAGGTTCTTGAAATTAGTACGGCGAACACTAACAAGCTAAAGAATTCACGATACCGACGTCAACTGATATTACAACCCACGGGGATTTTTGCTTTATATTGTATATAGTAATTACTTAGAAACCATTAGATATGCAAAGCATTGGTTTAAGCGCAAACGAAGTAAATTGCGAAGTTGTACACAAAGCTTAACGAAACTACATTGTTTTTGTCTACAAACAACTGTTATAAAACTCACTACATTATGCAGGCGCGGATCCACGGGGAGGGAAAGGATGCAAATCCCCCCTCCCTGAAATTTTCAATAACTATTAATTTTAACTTGTCACGGGACTTTCAAGCAAAAAATATTTTCACATTATCAATTAAAACGAATAAAATAGTATCGCAGGATGAGCTGAGAGTAGTCTGCGATATTTTACAAAAACGTTAATATGACATTTTCAACGAAAACCTTTTGAATTTCCCCTCCCAAAATTCTTCTCTGGATCCGCCCCAGCCTTATGTTATCAAACTCCCACTACCATCTCGTACAAAGCACACACATCACGCTAATCAAAACTTTTGGTGCACTAAGCGAGGAGTGTTTTAGAGCAATCGGATGGGATCATTTCCTCTCGTTTCTTCGTTCGCTCACCTAGGTTGGTGCGGACGCTCATGAGCGTGGCGAGGAAGGTGAGGCAGCTCTCCAGCATGGGCGCGTCGTGCTCGCCCTCCAGGAAGGACGCGTGCGTCGACGCGTACGGCGCCAGGCTCATCCACTCCAGCACGTTGAACCTGCGAACGTCAGAAACGCGTTTCCTTCAGCTCTGTCCCCCCGTGGACCCTTCGTTGGCCGCAAGCCCAGCACGGCAGGTCCCAAATAAAGAAGTATAGCTGGTCGCCATCTCTAGACTTCGAGTGATCATCTAGTCAACAAAACACACTGACAAATGACCGGAATCGTGCCATGAGATTTGAAGAAAAGCAAACTACTCACAAAAGATGTCTATATGTTTTATATTGGTCGACCTTAAGGAAATATCGGTAGAAAATCCTTGTGATGTAGCAAAAGATAACCTGCGTGTACATTTATTGAACCCCTTTGCCAATTCCGAATAACGAAAAAACGTACTTACGAAGCCGAACAAAAAAATAGAGCGAGATTGTTTTATACAAACAGTAATACTAGGATTCCGTTCAAAAATGGTATACATTTTCGGATGCGTAATATCAGAAGAAGCCTAATACCGGATTTACAGTGGCAAGTTACTGCTGATGGTAGTTGCAAAAAATGTTTGCAATGCTCTGTTCACCAACAAGCACGAGATTAAAGTACTTGCTCCAGTCTGTGTTACCAGTCGCAGCATTCTATTGTGGAAAGCAGTAGGCAAAACACCTAAGTGACGCACAAGTCACAATTTGCACTGTTGCCACACGTCCGCCGGACTATATAAATGCTGAAGTGCTAGGTTTGTGTATTTGATGGTTTTGGGCGGAGCGCAATATGGAAGTGTTGTGAATAGATTTTAATAAAGTTCGCCCGTCTTTTGGTAAGCGGAACGCTTTTGTAGATTTGTTTTCTTATTAACTGACATTATTATTATTATTATTATTATTATTATTATTATTATTATTATTATTATTATGTTCAGAGAACTGGAGTTTCCAATTTTCTTGCCTCCTCGCCCCACAAAAATAACAAAAACTTGCCATTTCAGAGTATAATTTACTTCGCATTGCTTGATTCCTGTAATGAGCTTGCTGTTACCTCCCAAAGGACAGTTATACGTTCTAACATTTCGATAAATTTGAGTGTGTCCTAAATTTACCTAACTTTTTGTAAAAATAGTTATTCACGATACGAGTGGTAAAAGTGAGATTTTCGTATGCTCGTAGGATTTGTAACGTGTAAAACATTTCATAATCACAAAATAAAATTACTTTTATCGCGTGTGTCATACACAATTTTTTAGACAGCGTTACTTTCCTATTATTTTAATTCAAGTGCACAAATTACTTAATATGGTACAATGTTGCATTAAGATCAGTTGTAGCTCATCCAGCAAAATTATTTGATCTTTACTGTTGCATTCCTAGTTTTATACGAACATTTGAGTATCGTCTTACTTTTAGAACTAGAGCCATTGAACTTTTAGCACGCTTTGCATGTCCTAGAAGTAACCGCTGTACTTGGGGCTGACTAAAAATGTATGTTATTAACCAAAAAACAAAATGCACAAATGTGCGAATGTTCCTCTGAGTCAGATATTTTTCATATTTTAACTAATAGAAAATACAAGGAAATAACAGGTGCCATTCATGATTTCTTCTCGTCCCTGAACCACTTGCGTTTGGTAAATAGGTAGATTTCGATAATGAGGAACGGCACAACATTGAACAAACTTGCCAGCACTTGTCATGAGTTCTATCTTGAGCAAACACTGGGACAACAAGCGGTCTTACTATATGCGAGACGCAGAGCAAATCAAGTTGTCAGCGCTTGTCAGAGCGCAGCAAGGAAGCTGGCCAGGGCCTTAACACGTGTAATTTCACTTGCGCACGCAAATTACTGAGAAATTTCTTGCCAGTGTAAAGCCAGCAGTGTTAACGTCTGCACTGGCAAAATACCATCATCGAAAACACTCGACATACACATCTTAGGACTATTATAAATTGTACAATTTTCTTTAATTTGTTTTCTTCTAAGAACATACAAAAAGAACAATATAAAAAATAAATAATAACTGAAATGCAATAACATTGCTTGCCATCGTACAAGGTGTCAATGAAACGATTAGAAGTCAATACTGACAAATAATTATTTCCAGCGCACTCCCTCTTATTCTGCAAATTCGTCGCTAAAAATATAACAATTTGAAATATACTCAAGAAATTATTATGTTCACGAATAGTTGTAAATCAACATAAATGCAGCTGAAAAACTGGAACCAACAGGTTTTCTATTTACAGCACCAGATATACCTTGAAAACGGATTGGGTTGCAACTAACAGATTAATTTTGGTTACCTTCCTCGCATTTGCCTCCACCTTAAAAAAAAACTAAGAAAAACCCATTTTTACTTCACTTCGTTCTTTACGTATACCGAGTAATACTATGCATGGAATATATAGAAAGTTATGAAATGCTGCAACCACAAGTGTGTTTTTTGACGAACTTTATCGTCGGGAGAGAATGACGGACACTACCGATCGTTCCCGCCTGATTGGCCGGGTAACCAGCCAACCAAATCCTAGTTCCTACATAGCTATACAATAAAAAAAGAGTATCACAGCCCTGAAGAAGGCCGCGATGTGATGGTCGAAACGGCGGCATAACTGCCCTCGACAGCAGAGTCTTCTCCCGAGTGGCCGCTGAAGCGTAAGATTGCTTGTTTTTTTCTCTATAGTATTCTGGAGAGATTCAGCTAGAAACAGAGCCAATTGATTCGTCCTATCGAGAACAATCAAATGTGATCACCTTCTTAGCTGGATTTAAAACTGTTAGCTTAGTTGTTTCTTTTTAAATTCTTTATAAAATTAGGCCATCAATTTGATGAATCAAGTCGTAATGATTTTTATTAAAATGCCGGAAAGAAAGTATACTAATTCACAGTGTTTCATCGATGTTCTGTCAGGAGAAGTGAAAAACATGTTTCTCTAGAATTCTTCCAGAATATCTAGAAGGGAATCGGTTAAGAATTGTCGCAATTGATTTAACTGGTCGAGAAAAATCAAATTTGTTATTGGTCACTTCTGTAGGTGCCGTAAGTCATCCAAGCGGTTTCATTGCTTAAAAAACATTTTTTTAAAATTTTTTTTAAGAAAATCTATACGAAACTCCGGGATCGATCCGCAAAAAGTGAACAATTTTCTACCGGAGACCAAGACGCATAGAATTTGAACGTTCATTTGCCTCGACCGACGGACAGGTAGTGAGTTACAGATGCAGGTTACTCCATTACTACAATAATATAAAACTGCAAGCACGTACACAGAAAGTTAAGTTAAGAGCGTTCTTGAAGATGAAAGAAAACGCACAAGAAGGTGGGGGGGGGGAGAGTTGATATTTCACATCTAAAAATAAAAATACTTAAAAGATTTAAAATGATATTTGTGCTGAGCTAAATATCCGTGAAGACTCACTACAAAGGCTCATACTCACTTGTCCATCACCGTACAGAGGAAGGCTTCGGCCGGAAGCTGTGTGGCGCATACTTGGAGCAGATACAGGTCGGCATCTACCATGGAGTTACAGAAGTTGCACTGGATGTAAGTCATCGCTTGGCCCTTAATTTGAAGCCCGTTCCGCACCCACATACCGCTTAGGATCTCGTAGAAGGCCACCTGCGAATAGAAGAAAAAAAATGTTACTCGTCAATTCAGATATATCAACCGCTTGGTACTTTTCTGAAACTGAAAATTACTGGATCACAGTGACACCTAATAAAAAAAAAATCGCTGGGCGATCAAGTACATCTCAATTCCTCCTGTAGTTCTTTGGTTACAGAAGCACTGTGAGGACTGGCATTGTCATGAATGAGGACATCTCTAGAAGCCAGCATTTATCCTCTACCGTTTAAAAGTTTACACCGTATTCTCAGCTCGTCCTTTTGTGAATTTCTGCTGTACTATTTCCTTCTTTTAAAAAAAGCGTACAGCACCAACCAACTCGCATTTGGTGGGAGCATCAGTCCGCTTCACTTACAACAGCTCAGTTCACATTGGCAATACGATTCCGGTGGAAGCAGAAGTTAAGATGAAAAAGATGCGCAGTCGCTCATTTCACGTTCTTAAATACTACGTCTCTAGCGATTTAATGACTTGCTTGGAGGTAAAAAAAAAGCGGCATTACGATATCGGAAGTTGTTCTTTTGGGTACTCCTCTATAAAACGAATGGTGAGAAACATTCAGAATACGAATTAAGTTGACCATTTGATGCCGTTTGGTGCAATTTAAAGGCGATATTTACAGTTAACTATTTGATATTCAAAGCAAGTCAATCGCACAGGTCTAAACTTTTCTGTTTATTAATGTATGCGCTACACTAATATTTTAATGCGACACCCAGCGTTTCAAATGTAATGCAGGCAATGGAATTGGCTTTTGAATTTGTGTTCCAATGTTAAGCTATTTTCACTTTTAAAACAGTATAATAAGAGAAATGATCACATGGGGCCCAACTAATAAATATTTCACCAAATTAAATTATTTGTTTGGAAATATTTTAAAGAAATAAAACAAAAAAAATCAAAGGAAATCTAACAGGCTCAGTATCTGATTAGCGAAATATATACCTTTTTGTTTTCATGGTAACAAAATTCTAACTTGGAACATGAAATGAAAACGAGTTCTTTTTCTTAATGCAGAACTGTAATACAATTTCAAATGTACGGACGAACGGTTTAACAAACATTCTTCATGCAGTTTACAAAACTGCTTAAACTATGTAAAATATTTTACGCGTGCTACACATAACTCTGGCACATCCACAGCATTAATTATTTCCGTTTTACGGGTTAAAACTCAAAACATTATACGTATCAAGCCGATGTTTCACGAGATCATCCACCAATTGGCCTCTATCCAAATCAACTTTCACACATTCGTTCCTGATAAGTAATTGACTCTTAATTCACGGTGGATTGTAAAGGACAATAATTGGGGGGGGGGGGCAACACAATTCTAACCATAATTATTGTAAATATCAGGAAAAGGAAAGATTCCGTAAATGCTGATATTTTTCAGTATAAGTCTACACTTTCTGCTGCTTCCTACACACATATTGCAGTTCGAAAAACACGTTTGTTAAGTGTTTGGGTCAAAGTGGTTTCGAAGTGCGAGGGTATTTTGTTCCAATACCTTCCATGACAATGAGGTATATTTATAGTAATTAACAAAGTTCTTCCAATCATTAATTAAATTTAAATAATCTCAATTTTTATCTGAAGTTGAATCAACCTTCCTGTTTAAACTCGTGTAACTACACATTACACAGCTAATTTTTACATGCACTCCCTGGTGTGAGAGGGAAAAAAATAGATTTTCAGTGAAGCACGCCGAATCCTCAGTCAAAAGACCTCAATGGTTACCAAGTCATTCACTGTATCTGCATTATCAGCGCAAGTCGGTTCATTGCAATGGCCAATGACCTTGTATTTAGAAGGCCATTTAATATTGCGCCGCTAGGATAAAGACGCTTTTTCTCAACATGTGCTCGCGCAGCTCCGGACTGTTGAACCCAAGTTTGCGGGTTCAAACCCGATCGAAACCGTGGATTTTTAAGGGCGAGAAAATCCTTCGTACGTCTTCCTTCGGAGGGGAAGTAAAGCCGGCTGACCCATGTTAGTAGATTTACTTGCATGTAAAAGATCCTCAAGCCTAAATGACGCCTCTGAGCTGAATTCAAATCGCCTGTTTCTCGTCCAAGAAATACCTCCTTTCTCTGCTAGTTGGTGAAAGGAGCGTAAGGAAATTTGCGTGGTCAGACGGAAGAGCAGGCCTGATGGCCCGAGTCTCGCTACGTAAAAAATAAGGCAAATTCAATCAATCAATCAAGTGTCTGTAGCATCTCGGTAAATTTATAAATTACTTCTTGGAGCCAAAACTCTTCAAAACATGTAATAAGGTTATTCAACCCTCAATATTAGAGAAGAACTATTTTTGGGACCTTCGACAGCTAGTATTTTTGAACGCACTCCTTATATCGATCCGAACTTTTCGTCCCTTTTATAAACCTGAGACAAAGTGAAATTTCTCTCAGTGAAATTTCAGCTCACGAGTATTGAAACCGCAGTTGACTGGACGAGTACTAATAGTCCAAAACATGAAGGTGAATTAGTGAATACGCAATTATGAAGCCTCGACGTTTTACAACCAGTTGAAAAGGGTATAGACACTTCAGTGAAGTTTTGTTTTACAATTAATAGCTTTTGTTCGGGACAAGATATAACTATATTTTCAATCTCTCACATATCAATCTGAATATACCATCAACAATATTTAGTAAGATTTCTCAGAAATACTCTTAAAATGATAATTAATTTAGAGATATCAATTAGCAGATGTCGGGAATGGTATTATACGGCAGGGTAAAAGTGTCTTCGGTAATAATGACAATTCTTACCCACTCAGTGTTTCCTGAGGACGTTGGCAACTCGTATCCATTTTGTTCCGTATAAGCCCTATTAGATTTGGACTTCCACTACCCCAACAAAAATAGTTTTAACTCGAGATATTGATTTACATTACGTATGTGATTTACATCACTTATGTGTCGAGAACTCTCAATACACAAGGAAGGAAAATAAATATTTATCAAATTCAAGAAAGGAAGAAGACTTCCGACATGACTCAACTATATCTCCAACATGGGTGCCCTATATCTGAAGGAGGAAAAGACGCTTATTTAATCTGTGTTGGGTTTATCTTGGATTGTGCCTAGAGTGGCCCCCTGTCTCTGCGCTCCACAGTCTTTGGGCTAACAGATTCCTCGGGCTTTAGGTATTTTTTAAAACACAAGTAATGAAAGTATGCAAAACAATATAAAATATACTTTTAAATTACAAAAAAATTAAAATTGCCATCTTCTAAAGAAATGAGGCAAAAAAATTGTTTACGGACGCTAATTAAGTTCAAATTTAATTTAACGAAAATTCAAGCAAAAATGTAGAAACGTTTATTTTGCAACAATTTAATTTATACTGTAGGTATAAAGATGCCAACCCTACTGCAAGATAAAAATTACATTCGTATGCCAATAGGTGGGTAAACAACCTTAAGCCCTCCCGTACTTCTACCAAATTCGTCCAATACAGTTTTTACTATTATTTGACCTGAAAATAAAATAAGATAAGAAATAAATAATCTTAAAATACAAAATCACTTGGATTTTAACATCGGCCCAATATCCATGTGTCTGGAAATACAAATATGAATGACAGAAAGGCTCTTCAAAGAAAAAGTCAATAAAATAGAACTCAAAATTATTATATATAATTTTTGCCTGTGTCACATGCATGGGAATGTTCAGTTTCTGGACAAAGGCATAGCAAAAAATAATAATAAAATAAATAAATGTCACAGGCAATTAGACGTTCATTCACCTAATTCCGAATGGAATTTCGAGAAAATTTATCTCAAGGGGCCTGCAAGCTCAGCGTAAGCGGCTAATCCACTCCAAACGAGGGGAATCCCTGAATAACACACGATCCACCCATTCCGCAATGAACGACGTACTAGCATGTCGCCGCACGGATACCACTACAACAAAACAAAAAACTTGACCTCACTAGTGCATCGGGGAGACGGAGTAAAGCGGCATGCATTTTACCACACGACTGACACAACTGGCATCATCAAGAACAAAGAAAGAAACAAAACAAAAAAGACAGAACATTAGCACCGCTCGAGCCGCGAAACGGGAGACAAGGCTGGTGCAAAGCGAGGGCGGCGCGACTCAATTATCCAATTCGCGGACCCGCGGCGGTTCTCCCGGGTTCCGGGCGCCGCCGCGGGAGGCGCTGGGCACACGCGGGATCCCCCCCCCCCAGACGCGAGCGTGATCCCACAGGCCGATGGCGCGGCAAGACGAGGCGTGGTGGCGCGGGGCGGGGCGGGGCGGAGCGGAGCGCAGGGTCGGTGCGCGAGAGCGGGAGCAGAGGAGTGGTCGAACAGAGGGGCAAGGCGAGCGACCAAGCCGCCCGCCAACGCCGCGACGGCCGCGTCGCATAGCAACTCAGTCATGCAGCCGCCTTCAGCCGCACGGACGCTCGTCGCGGCGGCGGCCGCCTTCGCGGCATTGCTGGCCACCGGGGGCCCCGCCCCCGTCGCCGCCTTCGGCCTCGACGACGCCGGCGACGTCCTGCAACTGGGCCGCGAAATCATCAAGAGCGTGTTCAGCGCGTGGAAGATCGTAGACGAGACGAGCGGCAGCGACGGAGAGAGCCCTTCCTTGTTCCACAAGAACGAGCGGCGCCTGCTTGGGCGAATCGTACAGGTACGGAATGCGCCGCGCTAGGTGGCGTTCTGCCGGCACCCGGCGGCGCGCCTTCCTCAGCACTTTCGAAACTACCGTACACTCAACTAGCACTTCCGCTTGAATGCAGGGAAATTCAATGTCTCGAAGACAGTGCGACAAAAGGAACTGGCGCTTGGCTAAAGTACACTGTACATTCGTGTCAACATGTCTGCTAGATATTACAAAAATGTATCACAAACAGTTGCAATAGAACTTGAATACAACAGGATGAAAAGAAAACTTTGTAATAAAGCGAAAATATGTACGCCAAGGGCCAATTCGCATTGCGAACATACTCGTACGTACACAGGAATTGCGTTTTGTAAACGCGAGCGCTGGGCGCCGCTCAGCTGGCAAGCGAGCGCGTTGCGCGGGAGGGGGGAAGCGACCTCCGCCGGCCGCGCGCTTTCTCGCCGCGCCGCGCCGCGCGCCGCCCGCGCTCCGTCATCGCCCGGGCCCCTGTGGGAGCACGGGCGTGCGAGGGGAGGGCGTGCAGGCCAAGGGGACGGGACAGGCGCTGAACCAGCTGCACTGGGCTGGTAGGCCGCACGTGTACAGACCCGACACGCACGCGACCAAGAGCTCCAGAGCACGCAGCCTCGCTTATTCAGATCCGCAATCCCTCGATTTCCCACCCTTTCCAGGCCTAGTGCGGGACCAAACCCCATGCTACACTCGTGCGTATGTGAAAACTAAGGGTATCATTTTTCAAGAAATTGGCAGATGTAACAAATTATTTATCATCAGGAGTAACTATAGAGAGTATTTTCCAACTTAATTAATCGTAACACATAAGCCTATCAATGTGCATGTTTGAAATTCGTCGAATCCATGAATACGCCTGGTATGGCCGCGGGATATCAGCTTTCAAATTCCTGATTACAGTTTATTAGGAATGTAAGTACACAATTCAAGAATGTAAGTGCAACCATTTGCGAAAAATAATTCCAACCGAAATGCAACATCTAAGAAAACTAAATCCAATCAAAAGCATGCAATAAACGAACAACATGTCACTTATTTCAGTTTATTTTATAAGGGATGAAAGAAATCAATAACTTTTGAAAAACATTCATTTCAAGCAAAATCTGGAAAGACGCTATTGAAAGAAGCGAAGGGTACAAAAGTATGCAGTGTTCTCAGTTTTTTGCTTGTTTTCTTATCGGAAGGAAATAAAGATATGGCAACTAAGCCAACTCCGAGATTCAGTAATATGGCGATGCGCAAAAACATGGAGAAGAAACTCAGTGAGGGAGGAGGAACACTTAATGATGTCAACACATGAATATGGCATTACAAGAAAAAAATGCAGGTATGCCAGCATTACACTGGAACGACTATACATGTTGACCAAGAAAACTACCCACTATCCGCCTGGGCACACACAAAGGCCACAGTTTTTATAGGAACATCGGGCTTGTGACTGGGGAGAAACTTGACGCATGATATATGGTTTAATCATTCTTCTGAAAGAAAATTTCGGGCACTTTTGCATACATAAAATTAGATCCTGTTATTTTTACGAAATGTCACATTTTACTGACAACAGAATTACACCATGTGCTGAACAACTTCCCGAATGAAATAATGTCGTACGATACGAAGGAATGTTATTTTATTGAAATCACAATTTTCTGCGTTTGCTTCACTGCCAGAATAAAAATTTGCTTACAGGGAATTATTAGGCACTCGCTTTGAAATGCGTAATAATTTTTAACAAAACAATATGAAGTCCTTGACTTCAAAAGGCAAACACAACACTGAATAGAGAAAACAGGCCCCCTACAAAAACTTTGTAAATTCTCTTGCTTTTTGAAGAACGCGTTCGCGAACACATTCAAATTACCAAAACAAACTCTCCGGCATATTTCGTGATTTTCATTATTCAGGAAGAAAAGTAAAAATAACGGGTATGAAATGTAATTTTATAAAATAGATTATATGTATGGTGCATGTATGTCTTCATATTAATATTTATCAAACCCCACATGCATGAACTTGAGATCTGCACCAACACGAGAAGCTATATGTACGACTAAACAAAACTTTCTCGCATAATTTTTAATTTTTGCAATTTTCGATAATTGAGAAAGTTCAACAAAAACACGATCTACGACAATTTTTAAAATGTTATTTATTGTACTCTAAAAGTATTAAAGAAAAATCTGGAGCAGTTTCTCAGATATTTTGATAATTTTCATGAACTATAAGCGTAAATTACGCGAAAGACTTTTTTTAATGATCATGATTAATTTAAAGAACTGATTTGATAAGAACAGATTTTCTTGAAGAAAAAAACTATTGTGATTATTGTAGTTTTGCAATTTTCGAAAATACAAATAGTTCGCCGAAAATGGCAAAATGGTAAAAAAAGCATCACTTTTTTTACCGTCCTCTGCTTTATCCGAGGAAAAATAAAGGAAATGATTTGACTAAATATATTAAATTAAAATCAAGGAGTTTTATAATATGTAGCAGTTTTTATTAAATAGTGGTAGAAAAAACTGCCCATGCTTCACGCAATATTACCCGAAAACTACGGTAAACTACTCGAGGGAAGCGAAATGCGATGATATACTGAACACATTACGTAAAGAGCTCTGTAATTCGCAGTGGTATTCGCGTTTTAGCCAAGGTTCGAAGACTACAAAAAATAACCGAAGGAGATTCAAGCCTACTGACTGTGAAGTTTGAAGACAAACTACTAGCAATTATTTGCCTTCAAAAATAGCTTCTGCACGGCAAGTCCAAAAGGTCATATACGTTTATCTGTATTTTCAAGAATTTACCCTTCACCAAGTTATTTAATTGAGAAATTTGCTCACTATTGCACTTTATGTTAATGGATTTTAGTGCTTATGTATTTTTGTTTTTATAGCTTCAATGTATATGAATAGTGACTAAGTTATTGCGATGCATAAATTCAAAGTTGCAAAGCATATAGTAGGCCACGCAAAAATGTCAGTTTTAATATATTTATTATATTATTAATGTCACAGAACTGTAAGACGTTCACAAATACTCGTAGTAGGGTCAAATCGTCATCTTGGGTCAGGGGCGAGGGCCAGGCGCGCCCTCGCGGCCGATAAAGCTGTGGGTTCGATATCCGCAAAAGGCATGAATGTTTTGTTTGTAGTATGGGGAGGTGCGGAAGTCCATCGATAACGGTACGATTTCTGTGCAATCTGCCTTTGAATGCAATTGGGGAACTGTATCGCAAAATTCTGAACACTACATGCAAGTGTTATAGGGAATGATTCAGGACCTAGATGAGCGTAGGGGATCAGTCATGATGTTCCGGGAGCGCGAAGGTACTCTTCATTGGGAATGTCTTCAGAGGAGCAGTGGGTACTGCGAGAAGCTGTGGTAGGTCTTTCGGGCTCCAATAGGTGGCAGCTGAGAAGGAAGTGAGGCAAAACCAAAAAAGGTAGCCCCCACTCGAGAATACGAATCCCGGCTCCTGCGATGAAGGTGAGAGTCGAACAGCAAGCACGGGTCGCCCCACCTTTGGGTTTTCGTTCACTGCCCCTCTAAATGGCACGAGTTACACGCGAATCCTCCCGCCTGCTTTTACGTCTTTATTGTGCAAGTAATGTGTGTACGTGCGCGGGACGAGAGCGGCCGCGCGAATGGCGGGGGCGTGCGCTGCGTGCCGCAGGTGGGGCTGCAGACGGAGCGGCTGGAGCAGAACATGGGGACGGCGGCGCGCGCGCTGACGCGGGCCGTGCACGACATGCCGCGCCTCCTGGTCGTGCGCCTGCACCTGCACGACCTCGAGCGGGACAGCCACGACCTCAACGACCAGTACGCGCAGATGCAGCGCTACATCGACAGGGGCTACGACAACGCCACGGGCGCCTGGTCGCTCGAGCGCCACACGCTGCAGGACATGGCCGAGGCGCACGTATCGCACGGCCAGCGCTCCACGCGGAAGGTGCTGGCGCGCCTGCACCGCGCTGCTCTCGACGTGCCCGGGATGCTGGCCCGAGAGTATAAGGTGAGCGGCGCGCTCGCGCCTCCCGACGGCCTGCCTGGCTATTTGTCATGAGCCCATCTGCGGCGGTTTCCCAGAAATCAAAACACGTTACGAGGGCGGGCATTTTCAACGCTCGGAACACCATGTCACGATTAGTTAGGCTCCAACACAGGTATTTAAATTTAGACTAAACCTAACCATTACTCCAACAGACTGAGTTGGCATAACCTTTGTGACAATTTAAAAATAATGAATTAGCATTTTTTCGAAAATTGAAAAGTTTTAATGAAAATCCCATAGATAAATCCCTTTCTCATTTTTGCAGAGAAATCTAATACTGTTTTGCAACGTCCGGTTTCCGGGACAATCTGTGACAACAGATAATAACAGGAATGTTTAAGTAATGCTCTTTGTGGAAATTATGTTTTCCCATTCGTCACCAATGCTAGGCGTCCTACCGACAGCTTCTAAAATTTTCAATAGCAGGTTCGAATGCGGCTGAATGCAGTACATTCGAATTAAACTCACAATCGGTAAAGTTGCATTCAAACAATTACAATCTTTGTTTGATTCCTTGATGTATTCCAACGCAAAACATGTTCCCAGTGAGAGAGAGGGTTAATGAAAGGAACGAAACATTTATACCAACATTTCAAATTTAATTTAATCAGCGCACTAAGCGGGATATTTGTGAGAATAATATAATTATAACCAATTGTAATATATTTCATATTTCTTCCTCTCATTTGTGGTTGTTCTTCGGACAATACATCTTTAAACTCCACCTATTCATTGTCCTCCAATTTTCCGATTGCGAGGTGGACGTAATGACTGTGACTTCGAACCTAGAAAAGAATTCTAATTTTCCGACTTTCATGTAGCTGGTAAAACTACCTGCAATCGACTCGCGAAGAAGAGTACGTATCCCTGTGAGACAGTTTTAAAGCAATATAAATTCCGCCAAAAAATTACTTCATGCATATTTGGTACAGCGTTTGTCATTGCTGTTCTACAAGCACCAATTTAACTTGTATGAAGTATTCTATTAATATATTTAGACCGAAAAAAACAAACGTAAGTTTGAAACAGTTGTCTTTCTGGAAGTCATGACCAATAAAACTAAAAAACGTTCGGTGTCAACCACTTGTAATTTTACTTACAACTCCAGAGTATAGGGACTAACTCGTATAGAACCCCAGATTTTATTTCAGAAACGAAGATCTCCATTCACTCCCAAGAGAGATTTGCAAGCTCAAATTATTTTAAGTTACATAATATTACAATATGTATCCTACATATGGCATCATATAAGTCACAGAATTCAGTCTAATGCGGTCTATCCCTACAAGAATTTAGAACCAAGAATTGAACGTTAATATATATATATATATATATATATATATATATATATATATATATATATATATATGAAACAAAGATGCATAAAATAATTTAAGGATTAATAAAACTTTAACAGCAAATACTTCAACAATGAAGGTAGAAGGCGAGTTGAAACAAAACATTTCAAAAAAGTTGAGACATTTTATGAAACCTCTAGGAAAATTCAGAGATTTTAATGAAAATTGATTCATGCCTTGCTTATATCCCCATTTTTTTCAATTTCAGCGAAATATAAGAACAAAAAACAGAGTCACTCTGTAGTACATTTTGAAACAACCTTAAAACCTCAAAAAACAAGGAATATATTTTAAATTTTTCAGGACTTGGGAGTCACGCGACATTGATTCGGGAAACATTATTTATGGGGGGAAATGAATGTTTTTCTCAGCCTGACAGATATAAGAGTTTTCGAAAAAATTAAGTTTTGGTTATCCACTACTCCCAGAATGAATTTTCATCACAATCTCCCAAACGATTTTTGCAACATTACGTAACTTACTCTGTTATTCTTCTACTACTTATTACTAGTACAGGGTTGTTGTCCAACTGAAGGCCCGCGAATGTTTATAGTCAAAACAGAAAGCGCTCCAACCCAATAATTTTACTGCGTTATGCTTGGTACGGCGTGATATCAAGCATGGTTCAATTCTCCCCTCCCCCGTTTCAGAGCAGCCAGGCAAAGTATCAAGATCAACAATACGGGGAAGTCAGACGTGGATCGTCCGAATTATGAAGTATGGACCGCAATCATATCACAGATTTTAGTTGTGGCCCTTGAGGCCTTGCAAGTTGGACACCGATGTACTAGTATATGAGCAGGTAAAAACTGTTTCAGCCAATGTTCGAGCATTGTATTACTTCCCAATATCCCTGGCGTAACCCCACAATTATTTCAGGTGAACGTGAAATAAAGATGTGCCCCTTGCGCCAGGGGTAGCCGCAACCCGTACCGCAAATATGCACTACATCACGGTCACAAAGAAGCTGTAAGGGGCAAGGGCAAACAGTACCGATGGCATGCGATTGTTTAGTGACGTTGCTTACCTGACAAAGGAGGACTTGCGAAAATGGAAGAGCCGCGCAAATACAATGGACGAGCTATGATAAAACCTTTCTCAAGGAAATGAACAATTAGTTTTTCATGATCGAAGAAAGATGGCAGAAATGAATGATAAAAGAAAGAATAGCACCCAGCAAACAATTCATTTTTAAACTCCATATAATTTAAAACCCACTCGTCTTTGTGTAAATTAAATTATATTTATTCCAGTTTGGAACTGAAATCACACCACATATTTGCCCTCTTCTATATCGCCCAATTATTGAAAATGTTTCAACTTATCTCAATGGCATTATAAATGATATTAGCATCGTAGATTTTAAAAAAAATTGCAATAAAAACTTTGTCCCGACGATCTGGTTTACAAGTTTACGCACGACGCATGTACAAATGTAAGTTCGGAACGGACCCGATTCTCCAACTCAGCGAAAACTATAACAAGAGTCCAATTTACTTTTAAAAACCGCTACTTTTGTGACCGGAGCAGGTATTCGGATTACACCGTGGAGCGGGTGATGTCTAAGCCATTAAAGAAAGGAACACTTAACGGCAAACTATTTCGGTGGTTCTTGAACTTCGCACAAAATTATGAAATATGACGATGTTATACATAGGTATTCAATGCACAGTTCAAATGAAATTTCAAAATTACGGTAATTTAAAATGTATTGTTATCACGAACACACTTAATAATATTTACATTATTGCTCGGCAAACATTTCAGCAACAGAACTTGTCATTTGGGCGAATCGGTGTTTCCAATTTTCAATTACTCCTGTAGTAGGTACAAACAATTTATTTATTTCAATACGTATATCGTTTTCCAATATTGACTACTCAAAATGAGTTTTCAAATACATGAAGCTCTACGGCCCTCACAAACCGTCTGGGAATTTGCAAAACATTTTTCTGAGTACACATTTCAACGTGGAACGAGAGAGAAAGAACCACTTTGTGGGAGTCTCGTGATCTGGCATATGCACGCCGCAGCTGATAAGCCGCGTGCCTCAGCGCCTCGAACCGCACACCGACCGTGAGGGCTACGAGGAGCAGGCTACAGTGGGGCGGGGCACTTCTTTTTTGCTCTTCAGCTTCATGCAAAGCCAGCAATGTTCATGGCGTTTCGCAAACTATAGACAATGAGACATCATCACAAACAGCAGATATTGCACTTTAGGAAAGGCCGCTTCCTACAGTTTCATTTCGTTTTTGCTTCCCTAATCGAATTACCCGACGAACCTTCCCCAGGAGCATTGTTTGAAATACAGGCAACAGTGCGGCGCTTACGTATATGCTAATGGTGTGACCCTTCATAACATGTGCATGTATGGTTGTTCTTTAACAAATCTGTAAGTTGTGCAGGGATACGAAAATTGTGTCGGAATTGGTTTAAGATTTTGGAATATTTCTGTATAAAAACGTTACTAGGTTCAAGAAAGTCAATATTTACGAAGCATTATTGCCGTCCGAATACATTTGATAACTTGAAAGTAATGTTGAATTTCACAAGAATATGGTAATTCATACACGTTACGTTTTCTATACGTCTGAATAGAATGCTGCGCAAACAGGATTTTTTTTAATGGGGAGGGGTCTACGGATGTGATGTCCACCCATCTCTGTGATTTATTATAAGGAATTTGTCATGAACATTTTTTAACATTTATTATTAGATATCATATATTTGTCGGTTTACAGTTATTTAAAATGTAAATAATTGAGATATTGAACATCTTCCTCATAAGTAAATGTTACACAAAATATACTTCAGCACAAATTAATTTTCCTCGCACGGTCTCTTTAAAAATATTCTAAATTTCTTGTATGCGCATTGTCGATCGAAATCAACATAGTTCATATGAATATTGAATCGCGACTTTCGATCCAGTTACTTATGTTCTTGGTTTCAGTATCATACGTACGTATTTACAAGTGAAAGAAAAGAAACGCAGCTACTATCGACTGACGGTTATCTTTCATGCCAAGAGTTGTGAGCAAAGAAAAAACAGCAATATGTCGAAAAAGAATGTTGGATGCTTCGCAAAAGTATAAGAGCACTGGGGCAGAATAATCTGTGGTTGTGTTCGAACAGAAGCATAGAATATTGAGGGAAATAGCAGCAAGAAATGAGCTTGTGAAAAGCAGCTTATTTCTGGAAGGGAGTGGGTCGGTCTATACTTGTACGTAGCCAAGAGGCCAAAAGCTAATGCGGGGTCTTCAAAACAATATCAACAATTGGGACTAAACCTGTCCACACATTTCTTTTAACAAAAGAACACACGCAATATTAAATATAGCGTAGTTCCACGAACTTGTCCCAAGAAAGGACAATGTACAAATCTCTGGCAGTCATTGCTCATGAAATCGTTAATGATTCCAGTTTTATACACGTAGACAACAATTCTTAATCGAATGTTTCATCTCTCGCCAATGTGTCAAATAATGTGTGAACAAAAAGACACCTATGAACAGCTCACGAAGTACATATTTATTTCTAATATATGAAATAAATACATAGAGCATACATTATTCAAAAGTACTGGACATCCTCAAAAGAGATTTCCACCAAAACGTACAATTCATCACACCAATACAAAATGATAAATTATATATATATATATATATATATATATATATATATATATATATATAAATGAT